CATCTTCTACAGCATCAAAAACCTCAATGCACTAGGCAAAACAAATGGTATCTGTTTATGGCGTCGAGTGGTACGAAATCAGACTCCTCTAAAATTCGTTCTTTATTTTGATGCCCCATTCGGCACATTTTCGTTTAGCTGCTTTAAGTATTTTTAAATTCAAGTTCTTCTCAACAGTGATAACAGAAATTCTTTTTTACTTTCACTTACCTATATATGTAATAAATAGTAAGGGAAAGTATTTCTATCGTGAAAATTTTCGAATCTGAGTTTTCAACGTAAATATACGTTTTAGGTTAACCCCGAGTCTAAATAACTGATTGCCGCAACATAGTCTGTGTGTGTGTGTGGTGTGGTGTGGTGTGTGTGTGTGTGTGAGTGTGTGTGTGTGTGTGTGTGTGTGTGTGTGTGTGTGTGTGTGTGTGTGTGTGTGTGTGTGTGTGTGTGTGTGTGGGTGTGTGTATGCGCGCGCGCGAGTGTGTGCGCTTGTATGTATCTAATCAGCCTAGCTCAAAAACAAAAAGTCGTACGATACTGATATTACGTATTTTTTTCAAATCTTTTTTAAATTTCTTTATTGAGTATTATAACAATCTGTCTGTTGGACATTGGTTATAGTGAGGTAGGATGACATTCACACCATATGTACAAAAAAATAAAATAAATAGAACAAAATAATAATCAAAAGTATGACCACATACAATAGACAATAAAATAAAATAACCTAAAAAATAAGAAAATTAAAACTAAGAAAAAAAAACAAAAAAAACACATGCATACCTATACACAATCAGGCGAGGGTATTCCAGGAGAACCCTGCGCTACTCTCCCAACCGCGTCACTGGTACTAAAGCCAGCGGAGATTGGTCGAGAGCACTTTAGCCACATACACACATGTCTTGAGTGAAGAATCTGGCCATTGCCAGAACTCCAATTTATACAAACTACAAAAGGTCGCGAGGCCACTGCCGTTTCAACCTTTTTGGAGGATTATAGGGATGGGAGATGCTTGATAGGGATTGTGCAAGAGGATTTGGGTGGTAAGTAAGGTTCTGGTGAAATTTGGAGAATTTTTCTGGAATAAGGTCTAGGACAAACAGGATCTTCGGCGGTACATATACTAAAATTGGAACGTATTTAAGATAGATATGTGCCTTAAATGTGACAGCAACTTCTTCGTTCAAATCGAATAACGGGAAGTGGCACTTAAAACCAACGGCTCCATAATTCTGCTTAAATTCTGTATATCATTGTATAATTAAGTGGTATTGAATATAATTTAGATCTTATCCCCATTGATGTCACTTCAAAGGACTTAAATGATTAAATGTTCAATGCGTCTTCCTCTAAAGTACCTTTAATTTGGTTTATTTGAAATAATTAACTATCTCTCAGTATTAAGAGTTACGAAAAAATGCTAAATATAACTTTTAATAATTGAAAGGTGGAGAATCAAGGCAATGGCATTGCTTAAAAAACTTACCGCTCTACTTTGAATAGAAATTATTTTTTGCTTTTGTTGGGCTATTATAAAATTTTTGAAGTGCATTTTAAACGGAACTAAAGCTTACAGATAACAAATCATTAAGACAATTAATATTACAAAAAGTCTATTTATTATATCGACGGTAGGCATTAAAATCTAGTTACTCTATCTGCTTTTATGAACCACAGAACTTCATTCTCTGAGCCTTTCAGTTAACAGAATGACTATCTACAATTTCAACGTTTCTGAGTAATATCATTTTAATGATATTTCTAGTTAGAAAAGTTATTTCTATATAGACAGTGAGTAAGTTGATTCCAGAGTAGATGATTGCAGTGTTGAAATATAGAACTGTGAATAAAGGTATACATTTTGAAACTAGAAACATCACTAAAATTAATAATAAACAATGTTGAAATTGGAGTTAGTTATTCTGTCAACCGAAAGGCTCATATATGCCTAGAGAGATTTGAAAGTATTCTATATCTAAATATTTAACCTGTAAATGATTATAGATTGTAGGACTATGAGTTACTAAACTGTTATTTCCCATTGTAACGTTTACAAAAATGAAATTACGAGATTTTCAATGCCCGCCATAGATAGGTCAAAAGTTGTCACATTAATTGTAAGTGGATAATGTTGGGATTTTTTACACGTATACCTTCTGTCTATTATTTCCGGAGATTCATTTTCGAACTGGATAAGCATTTTTCTTATTTCCTCCTTTATTAAATTATCAAATTCTTTCAAAAGTTATATTTAGCCATTTTTTATAGTTACTGTCAATAAAAGAGAGTTAAATTTTCAAAATAAACCATATTAAAGGTACTCAAGAGGAAGACATATATGAACATTGGGCATTTAAGCTGTGTAAAATTACATCAATAGGGATAAGACCTAAAATATAACCTAAATATAAGATATTAAAGATCACTTAATGATACAATGAGTTTAATACAGAACCGAGTTTAATCAAAATCGTTGGAGCCCTTTTAGAGAAAATTGTAAAAATGTGTTTCACCGTTGATATAAAGTGGCACTTCCGGTTAGCCGATTTTAAGGGAAAAGTTGTCACATTTAAAGCATATACCTACCTTAAATACGTAATATCAGTTTCGTATGACTTTTCTTTCTTAAACTAGACAATAATAATTATTTTGAAAAAAGAAAAGAAAAAGAAATTAACTACCTAAGTGAAATGGTGTTTAAGTGATTCTCGAAGTCCTATTAAATGTAATTACATGAACAATAATACTTTAAGAGATAGTTTTTATTATTTTTTTCTATAAAATTTGGTTATATTTTACCGTTTTGGGGGAGAAGGGGTGCTTCAGCCCGAAAGCTTCCTCTCTCCTGTAGATCCGACTGTGATATAACCCATAGACTGGAGTTATGTGGTTTACAAAAACAGATGCAGTACCGAGGTTTTTATTGTTTACCATTGGTATAATTAATAATGTTTTTTTTATTTTAGTGGTATTAATGATTTGTTAGCTGTAAGCTTTAAGCTATAGCTCCGTAAAAAGTGCCCTTCAAAAATTTTATAATTGCTCAACATAATAATTTCTATTCAAAGTAGAAAGGTAAGTAAAAGTTTTATGTAGCAGGCACCAAATTTTTTCTAGCGGTTTTTCGTGTGTACTTCAATGAACTATTTTGTTATGACTTTTTCATAAATATAACGTTGCTCTCTGAAATTAAATTTTTCAGTGGAAGCCCTTGTTGTTCTTGCCATACTTATGTCTCCACATTTAACAGCTGATTTGATCAATTTAGAATTGTTGTAACGCTTCTGGTACCCTATATAAACGTTCATTATCCCTATTTTTTTCAATGCAGCACTTGAGACACTTGTATTTTTAACTCCCTTTTCTTCTACCAACACTATTTCACCCTCATTTAAATTCACACCACATATAAAACCCTTAAAACTAGTGTGTGGTCCTTAAAACTTTCTTATAAAATCAGCTTTGACATAGTGAGAATTTCGGGTCTCAACTCCACAAATAACTTATTTCAAATACATGATATTAAAGATTAAATCAACCGTTTATTACCGGCCAGGCCTTTGGCTTCAATTTAGTCGAGGAGAGTTTTGAAAGGTGGTAGAAGTCAGATATATTTTTGTTACAAGCTTGTTTGATAGGAAGAAGATCTAATGAAATAAATGGCTCAGGTCATCTGTCATCAACACTTCACTAACTCATATCAGACAGGTTATTGAAGATGTAAAGACAATTATATATAATGAAACATGAAAAATAGCTTAAAAGTTTCATGTTCTGAAAATTTCCCAAAATTTGAAAACCAGTACTCAAAACTTACTAAATTTACCGAGCCTGTTCTGGTCTTAAATTGTGGTATATTTAATTTAGTTTATGGGTATAAAATGGATTTTGTCGAAAATGTGTTCCTTCATGGACAAAATGTGGAAAACCTGAAAATATAACAGATTTTGGAATATTCAAAAATTATCCGGAAAGCTCCGAGGACGAAAATTTGATTTTGTATCTCACTCATATCCCGTACAAGAAAATAAAAAGGAACCTTCTACCTCCATTTGATGTACAACTTAGGTAGTACAAGGTTACTGGGCTAGTAGGTCAGCTGGTTAAAACTTCTCAAATGTATTTAAATGATAAATTATTCTTTATTTTAAATAAAATTTTGTCTTATAGTTTACAAAGCATCATTTGGAAATTACCTGACATAAATATATTTTTAGTTTTTCATTAAATCTTCAAAATTTTCCAAGGATTATTAATAAAATTTATGATATCGAGGAAAGCACTTTATTCTATCCTTAAGCATTCATTCAATGCTTCAATTCATTTAAACCTCTCGATGACATTTCAGGCAATTTTGCCCATTTTCAAGTATAATATTTATATATCATTATTACATTATCCATGTAGTCATAATTTTATATAATTATTGCAAAACTTATCGCCTCAAAATTATTCAAATTATAAAATTCATGAATAGTCAATTCTAAAAACAACTGAGGACAGCCAAAAAATAAAAATTATTTTAAAATTACTCCAATGCTACACATTTTTGTCACCTTTAATAATAACACCTTTTCAGAATTGAACCATAGCACAAATGAATGTTTCTGTTACAATAAAGGCGAACCTCCTTCTGTTTAAGGTAACATTTATGTAGCACCTTGTGCATGATATAAGTTCCAGAATTAATCAGGTGACTGCCGAAAAAATACCTGGAACTGGAAAAATTGTCTGGATATGACCTGATTAATGGTGAGGTGTTTCAATAAATACCGAGATATACTCAGGATGGGCGCCGCTCCATGTCTGGAGCACCTGAGTTCTCCAGGCCTAAAGTTGGCACATCTTCCAAATATCAACAGTAAAGGAGCACATGTGAAAATACTATAAACTGATAAATTAAACAGACTAACCAAAAAATAATTAGATGAAGTGGCCAATATCTGATGCAAGGAAATGCATATACATAAGATGTAGGCCAGTAAAACACATGCCTGTTTCTAAGCTATTAGACTTCAGCCTATGTGGTGGTGGTCAGATATGTGCTTGAGAGGCTCAAATTTAATCATAAAAGTGAATATATATGAGTATATTGTTCATATGTAAAGGATTAAAAAAGGACAATTACTTGTATTCAAGTGACAAAAACAAAATATTGATAGTTCCTAAACAAAAATAATAACCAATAAGTTTCATTTAAGAGATCAATTATAGCTAATTCGATTATGCTATCAATTAAATTGTGATAGAAAAGTAGTTTCTGAAAATCTCAAATTAAGTTAAGCAATTATTTTTTTTTTACTTTACAAAAAAAACTTCAGATTTTAGTTGCGTGTATTCTGGAGCATACAGTGAAAGAATAACTCATCATGCAGATTAGATCACAGCAAAAGGCCTATATTAGGGGACTAGATACATAGATACAATAATAATATCTTCTGTCTTTTAATAATGAAAATGAAATTCGTAAACCAAAAAATAACGTCGGGGAGGGGGGAGGGAAATAATTATTTCGAAATCTATTCATCTTTAGATAGTGAACTCAAAAAATGATGTGGACATTCTAAGGATAGAAAAAACTCGAAAAAAAAAAAAAGAAAAGCTTGTAGCTGCCACCAAACCCATAAACCTAGATGAACTTAGGTATTTACTTAACAACTGCCTAGGAGAGAGAAATACAAAAATCTGATGGAAAGCTAGAGTATGATTTGAAGCCTTCATAGCCAAATCTGATACCAATATTTAATTAAATAAAAAAAATAAACAGTTAAGGATTTATAGAAATAAATTTAATACAATACAGAAATTGTTACCTGGAGGGTACTTCACACTTTTTAAATTATAATAAAAAAGTACTATCAAAACAATAACTGAAATAAACACTAGCAAGCTCATCTTAGTCAGCTCTCTATGAATGCCCAGCTTTAACTACCATAGTTAACATGTATTTGTTGTTATCATTTTAGATAAACCATGTAGGTCAAAACATCATTTCCAGAACTAATACTATGAATAATTTTCATAAAGCTTGAAGAAAATAAATTAATACTTTTAATATAATTTGTTTAATTAATAATTTAGCTTAATTTCAATAATCCATCAATGATCATATTCATTTGAATGTTTACTTTCTTACTATAATTTGAATTAGATGGAGTTGCTCCATGAAATTATTAGTTGAATGATCAACTAAAAATTAAAAAGTTTTAGATATTTCTATCAAGTCTAAAAACTAATATTTGAAGAGATTACTGAAAAAAAAAGTAATAAAATAAAATTTACATCATGCATTTATAAAAACTATTGAATACAAAAACTTAAATAAAATTTTTTATAGTTTATAAGATAATTGAATTGCTTTAGATATTGGTAAAACCAATAAATTAAGGGTTATCTATATTTTTTAATTTCTATTTCTAAGTGTTGTTTTTGTTTATTTTTTAATTTTTATTTCTCTAAGTTGTTTTTGTATACTTCTTATTTATTGAATTGTTTTAAGTATACTAAATATATGGTTTATTTATTTATATTTGGTATATACTTATATTTTTCATTAATTTGTAACATAAAAACATTAAAAAGAGTACATATTTTGATTATTTGAGTCATTAATTTTCTATTTTGAGAGAGTTTCAGATTGAAAGTCCTCTCCCCAATCCAGAGAACTGCCACTGAATTTTATTAATATTTAATAGAACCATCTATGCAAGTGCAGGTGTACATATTATTCTTGGTGTGGTGTATAACTAAAATGGGGTGGAGGGATGATGCACACCAAGCACTGCTTGGTAACCTGATAAATGGAAGTTCACATGACAAAACAATAATGTCTTCAAGTCTCAGTTCCAGGGGGCTTATAACTCTGGCAAAAATGAGGTGTAAATAAAGGGAAATGACTAAGGTAGAAAGAAAAATGATGGTGGTCATATCATTTATCATTGTTAAGATTGCCAATATCACTGGGTAACAATGAAAATGTTTCGGGCTCAAAAATAGTCAATTCATTTTTATTTCCATCTGCTGAATTCAAAAATCACCATTAAAATGACAGATTAGCTCTTGCTTTGGAGATAAAGTGACAATTCATTTTTTAGAGTCAACATTTTCAATTTAGATGATTTTTTTTTAAGTTGGTACACCTGTCAAATAACCAAACACAAATGCTCTTCAGCTGTTTGTAAGTCATAAAAATAGTTACTGTTGCTTTGTCTGTGAATTTCATAAAGTTTCTGCTGTAATTAATCCAGAATTTATGATTTGAGAGTTCGTTTGTAGTGTAAATTCGTAAAAATGCCACGAAAATATGTAAATATGGTGCATAATTTTTGTTATATTTGTGATGAAATAACATTTTCCTCACAGAAACGCTATCTGAGGTCTATTGTAAAGACTGCCTATCAGCATTATATCGGTATGAAAGTAGAGGACCAGGATAAGTCTTGGGCTCCAAATATATGTTGCATCGCATGTTCAGTTACACTGTGAGAATGAATGAGAAAGAAAAAACGATCTATGGTTTCGCTGTGTCCCTATGGTTGGGCGGGAGCCGACGAACCATACAGATGACTGCTATTTCTGCTTGACTGCGCCTATAAAGGCAGGATTGTCCATGAAGAACAGTTCAGTCCTCGAATCTTCAAGCTTCTATTCGACCCATTCTGCATTCAGATAGCTTACCAGTTCCTTCTCCATTGTGTTTTTGAACATTGTGTGTTTGAAGTAGAAAATGAAGACAGCGTGGAACAAGAAGAACTGAGCGCCATTTTCAAACCATAGGCATATCAAATAACATTTCCTGATCTGAATATGGAAGTTTTTTTTTTTTTTTTTTTGGAGTATTATATAGAATTTGATAAAAATTGATGCCTATTTCATTATACGTTGACAGATTCCTAAATTTGCTTCAAATTTGAGCCAAACTGAACTTGCGGTTATCGAGACATAGACGTATCAAGGAAAACACGTTAATAAAAATTGAACCAAATTTGATCCTTGATGTCTGAAACGTAAAACGCGAGTGGAAATTTTCGATTCTTAGCACACATTTTTTTTTTTAAATCCTGCACGAATACAATGCTTCTCTAATTTCGGTAGTGAGGAAGCAAAACGTACAATAAATGTTGTAGTAACCTCGTTTGTGAGTAAATTGCTAAATTTCATATTGTTAAATAGTTTTGAAATGTTACCATGTAATCAAAGAAACTTTTGCTGGCCGTAGTTTGGATACCCCTGAATTAGATAATTGTCTTTCACAAACTTTGTGAAATGTCTAAAAGCACCTTTAAAGGTAAAGCAATAAACAGCGGTATTATTGATAAAACAGACTAGTTATTTATTTCATTTCTCTTAATACCGACATCATACTGAATTTTTGTAATGGACATATTTTGATGGTGTTATAAATTTTCAGAATGAAAAGTTTCAAACAAAATGACAAGGAGATGAATGGAAGAGACTGCAGGACGTGTAATAGTATGATAATAAAAGGCTTAGCGAACCCGAAGGTTCGATGCCGACACCACCAATCGCTTATTTCACACCTCCCTCCACCGTTCGCCGTCCAAACCCAGTCCCTTCAGATCGGCTTTAAAGCGATCTTCCAACCTTCGATTCGGTCTACTCCTCGGACATTTACCATTCGGTACAGCAAATATTAACCTTTTAGGAATTCTTTCGTTACTAAGCCCAATAATTTTACAAGCCCATTTGATTCGCCGCAATATAATCACCTCAATTATATTAACCAGATACAGTTCACGTAATTCGGCGTTGTGTAACCATCTGAACTCTCCGGTTAACTCATTCTTCGATCTACGGGCTTTGGGGCTGAAGCTCACCTCCCCTCCCCCTCCAAAAATGGTAAAATATAACCATGTTTTACGGAAAGAATATTAAAAAATTATGTCTTAAAGTATTATTGTTCGTATAATTACATTTAAAAGGACTTCCGGAATCATTTAAAACACCATTTCATGTAGGTAGTTATTTTCTTTCTTTTTTTCCAAGGTAATTATCGTTATTTTTATGAGAAAAAAAGCTTTCGGGTTGAAGCCCTACCCTTCCCCCTTCCCTCCCCCCAAAAAATAAAATCTTGGATTCGCTAGTGCTTCGGTCCGAGTATAATACGCAATAGTTTATTTTCAATAACCTTAAGACGTTGTTCATACCTTAATGTAAGCGGCCACGTCTCGCATCCATAAACAACTGTAGGCAATATAATTTTTTTATAGATTCTAATTTTTAAGTTCCGGGAAAAGAGGCGCGAGCTAAGTAGTTTTGTCACAGAAAAATAATAAGCATTGTTCAGCCTAACCTTAATCTCCTCTTCAATTTCGCTTTTTCTAGTTATCGTACCTAAACTTCTCTACCTGTCCAAACATATTACCTTCTATATCGATATCACCAGCAATGTCGCCATTTTTGCAGCTAACTATATATTTTGCCTTATCCGAGTTTATTTCGAGCCCTAGTTCTTTACCGGGTTTCATTAACATTGTCGTATTTACTTTTATAGTTTCCGTATCTTCGCTTAACAGGACCGGATCACCCCCATAGCCAAGCACGGATGTTGTCCCACCCAGGTCTAACCGTTTTTCGGTACGCATTACCTCTCTGATGGCATGTTCTAATGCCAAATTGAACAGGACAGGCGAAAGGGAATCACCCTGTTTTAAACCCGAATGAACCTCAAACTTTTAGGATAAATTATTACGGATTCTAATTTTATTGAGTGTTTCCGTCAAGCACATCCGGACTAAATTTACTATTTTTTTTTAAATCCCCTGCTCAATTAGAATACTATACAGTCTCTGACAGTCAATAGAATCGTAAGCCTTTTTAAAATTTAAATCCTCGCACGGGCTCATTACCGCGTGGTATGTGAGCCATCCCACGCGTGGCGGATGGGGAGCTGGTAATTGGAAATTTCTTGGAAGTTAGGGACGTACAATTCTTTACTGATAGAATTTCGGTAGCTATATTTCAGGAACGTTGGTTTTAAATCTTGTTTAATTTAAAATACATTGTCCAACCGAAGATAGTGACGATGAAGTCCAATGCGAATTTTACGATAAATTCGAATGGGTTTATGATTAACTACTGCGAAACTCCATGAAAATAATTACAGGTGACGCAAAAGTGGGGAGGGAAGAAGTTTATATTACGACGATTGATAAATTTTTTTTTTTTTTATTTATTTATAATTATTTTTTTTTATATATATATTACAACATGTCATACAGATAAGTTACAAGTTTATGGTTGTAGTAACCTTACACTTGACATAACAGTGGTTTGAATACTACTTAGAAAATTGAAATTAATTTTTTACAGTAGGAAAAATCTCATAAAAACCTACATAAGATATAAAGGAGAAAAAAAAAAAAAATGTTACAATCATTAAAAGTGCAAGAAAACTAAATATAATTTATGTGCAAAAGGAAAACACACATATATATATATACATATACACACATACATATATATACATATCCACATATATATATATATATATATAATATATATATATATATATATATATATATATATATATATATATATATATCCACACACACATACCCGCACGTATACATACACACACACATCATATAAATACAATTTGTTGATTGGGGTGATTGAGTTTATTGTTACTTGTTTGGTGATTGATAAGAAACCGTTAAATTTTCACAAATAAACTGATTGAATTAGTCATCTAGTAGTATGTGTTTAGTCCGTCTGTGTGTATACCGTTTCAAAGATGTTTTGTCATAGTTTCCTTTTGTTCGGATAATAGGGTTTTCAGACGTTGGTGTTAGCTCAAAAAATCTCTGTGTTTTAAAATAAATATATTTTTTTATTGTGGGAAGCTGTAATTCTGCTAGCATAATAGATACTTTGGTATAACGTGGATAATTGTTTATGATTCTCATACATATATTTTGAATTACTTCGAGTTTTTTGTAATTTGTCTCGCATGTGTAACTCCATACTGGGGCAGAATAAGTGATTAAAGGGCGGATTACTGTTTTATATAAAATTAGTTTATTTTTTGTATTCAGTTGTGAATATCTATTAAAATATGGTGACATTTTGCTGATCATGTTTTTTGCTTTATTGCACTTGTTGTTGATATGTTGAGTAAAATTTAGGGATCTATCAAGTTCTAGGCCTAAATATTTCACGAAACTGGACCAAGGAATCTGTACTTCTTTTATGTGTATATTGTGGTTTATGCGTGGTCTTCTTTTTGTAAAAATAATTGCTTCAGTTTTTTAATCATTTATTTTTATTTTCCATTTTTCAAAATACTTGCAGAGTTTTATGAATTGGGATTGTAACCTGTTAGTTATAGTATCGATTCTAAAAGAAGAGGTGTAAATAGCTGTATCATCTGCATATAAGGAGTATTCTATTGAAGGAATGGAAGGAAGGTCTGAGATGTATAGGCTGAATAGTGTAGGAGAAAGACAGGAACCTTGAGGGAGACCTGCAGATAGGAAGTGGATTGAGGAATGGTCATTCTTTATTGTAATGCAAAAGGATCTATTGTTGAGATATGAGTGAAGAAGGTGGATTATGTAAGGTGGGAATTTATATAAAATGAGTTTATGGATAATACCCTCATGCCATACAGTGTCAAAAGCTTTTTCTATGTCTAGGAGGAGCATACCGACGTGCTTCTTTTCATTGAACGCTTTGGTAATATAGTCGGTCAGTCTGGCTAGTTGGGCTACTGTTGAGTGCTGTTTTCTGAACCCAAATTACTCGTTAGATATCAGACTGTTTTGAGATATATGGCTCAGGATTCTTTTTAAAAATAGTTTTTCAAAAAGTTTTGAAATTATGTTAAGTAGACTTATTGGTCTGTAACTACGAACATCTGCTGGATCTTTGTTTGTTTTCGGAATCGTTATGATTTTTGCTGTTTTCCAAGCCGTCGGAAAATATCAAAAGCGAAGCATACAGTTATGCGTCTTTGTTAGGAATAAAATCGCCTTTTTGCTTAATTTCTTAATGGCAATTGGAGGTATAGAGTCTGGACCGGGCGATTTTTTAGTTTTTAACTGTTTTATAACCTGTTTCACATCTTTGAATGAGATTGAAGGGAATGTATTTAGAACTGGTTCTTTGAGAAAGCTTTTTACGGATTTAATGATAGTTCGATTGTGTTTGTTGGTGCCTAGATCAGCCAAAATATTATATGCTAATGTGAAATAGTTTGCCATAGCTTCTGCCTTCTCTATATTAGAATAAGCGAAATTGTTTGATAGTTTGATTGGAGGGATAAGGTGGGGACGATTTGATTGATAAAGAAAGTCTGCACGAATATAGTAATGTTATGGAATCCGTCTGATAATACTTTGCCATCTCGTGAAATAGTATATAATATGTTATTTTTCGAATTCTATTTTCGCTTGTAATGTTTTTAAAATGATGGCAGCAAAAAAATTTCTTGCAAGGGAGAGGGAAGTTCGTGCGCCATCGACCTTGGGGGGGGGGCATTGGCGTCCCTGCTTAACAACGACATTTTTACTAAAACAGACTATTTCATTTCTCTTAATACCAACAGTAGATGAAAAATATTAAAAACAAAAAAATACTTGCATAGTGAAATAACCATTTATATGTTTGTTTGTGAAATGTCAAAACGCTGTACCTTTAAGGTGGTACAAACAAATATTTAATACAAATATGCTAGTTTAATATTTTTTATCTTTATCATCTGCTATGGATGTCAACAGAAATAAAATAAATAGTTAGGTTTAGCAATCAATTCTATCTTAGTTAAGTTAGATAATTGTATGTATCATAGTTTGTGAAATGTCTTAACGCACCTTAAGATGCACGTGTCAAATATAATAATATCTAGAAAAATATTTTTTTCTTTACTCTTTCAAAATAAAGCTTATGTATTAAAAATATATAGTTATATATTCTATTGATTGTTATCTTATTGATAAGTAACTTTTCAAGACATGGAGTATTAAAATCTCAAAAATGAGTAAAATATTCATTACCATTTTAAAAGCTTACAGCCAAAAGAGTGACAATACTGTAAATGAGCGGGAGTGTGGCACTCGTGACGCAACTCATGTTTGGTAATTAAGTGAACGAAATACGAACTTTTTACTTACATCAATAATTTACTTTGGTAGTGGAATCAGGAGATTAAGAATTGTAATTGAATCTCTAATATATTGCTAAGTTGCACAAACCAAAAGTTCTCTTCTGAAAGAAAAAAAAATTGGTGAAAACATAATTTCTGAAGTGGTTAATTTTAAAAGAAATTAGCAGAAGAATAGTTATAGAAACGATAGGTAGGAGAATATTTTGTTGTCATTTATCTATTTAATGTTTATTCTCAGTGCTGGTTTATAATTATTTACCTATAATCACTACTTTATACTTCTAATCTAGTTTTCAGAATGCTTCGTAATTGTACCAACGTAGAAAAGTTATAAAAATTTTGGAATTTATAGCTCTTTATTTATAAAATTTATCTCCCTAAACTTTGTAAAAAATTATTGAAGTAGTTTTCCAGTTCTGGAATCATTGGTGAAGTTACTTTCCAAGTATATTTAGCTTCCGTTCAAATGCTACAATGGCGGTTATAAGACTTCGAGGTTGTTCTGTCATGTTAAGAGTTTGTTTTTAATTTTAACACAACAATTGAATGACGTTTTTAAACCGTAAATTATTGCCTACATTTCAATTTGTAAATTTTTTAAGTAACCCTACCTAAAGGGTAGGAGGATTGTACATAAAAAATGAATAACAGAGGACAGGTGAAGTTAAACTTTTGTCTTTGAACTAAACCCTTCTCTTCAATTTATTAAATCTATGACTTTTTTTTCTTTTACATATTAGCTTACTTAAAACTTTAAGTGAAATTGTTTTGACACATCTGAAGGATAATTATATGCAATTTAATATTTTGTATGATGTTTATAATAAAATTAGCTCATCATTTAATCTTATATTTATTTCTGAACTTGTTTCTATTGTTATTACATTTGATATTTTAGTGGAACATGCATCAATATGGTTTTAATCATCCGAGGAATAGGATGCAACAACGAAACAATTATCAACATCCTGTATACAAAAATTACCCACCTAATTTCAGGCAATGGAAACCAAACATAATGGGCTTTGAGCAGGATAGATATCAGGTATCAATCTGATTTTTCCTATGAAATTATATCTTATCTTATTATTGTGCTATGATTTCACAAAACCAGGGACAGATTAAGTGGTAAGCAAACTAAGCGACCATGTAGTAACCCTGGTAGCAAAAGGCTTAGTGTTCTTGAAATATTTTTACTTAAAACATTTTTAAATGACTAAGGATTCAAAGTATTTTCCATAAATTAATCTAACAAAGTGTTACATTTTTGGCCAGTGTGTTGCACTCTTTACCTGTGGGCCTGAGTTAATTCCAAACTTCTTTTTAGGAGTTCCTGATTTTTATAATGCTTAGGGTAAAAACGTTTCTTGATCTGCCCCTGCTCAAAACAAATCATATATATACTTATTCTTGTGATAATTGATATTATTTTATTCAATTTATAAACAAATCATATCTATATATACTTATTCTTGCCATAATGGATGTTAGTTGTATTCATTTTGTTTAGAATGACTTCAGGCCCAATAGAGGATATAATAGACAAAACCATAGGATGATAAATACTAATGGTAATAATAATGGAAGACGAAGATCATTTGGTGACAGAAATTGGGTTTTGGAAGAAGATTGTTTTCAGTAAGATCATATTTTATGTTTGCCTAATTATGCTCTGATTATTTTAGAATTATTTTTATGCCATTGTGTGACTAGATCTGATACATCTTGTCTCATTCACAAACTATGATAATTATTATTTATATATTGAGCCTCAATGCTAGTTTACTGTTTTAAAGAAGGTAACTGTATTTAAAAAAATACATAATATCAGTTTCGTACGACTTTTCATTTTAGAGCTAGACTGCTAACATACACACACAGACCATTTTTCTAGACTTGATTATTTGGACTCAGGGTACCCCAAAACGTGTATTTCCATTGAAAGCTCAGATTAAAAAATTTTCATGTTAGCAATACTTACCCTTACTATATATTACATATATACATAAGTGAAAGTAAAAAAGACTCGAAACTAGTTTTGTACCCAATTTTAGGTCCTGCATATTCAAACGCTATGAACGGAGTTTTGTTGGATTCAAAATATCATAGGGAGTTGACTGATCGTACCCTCAGTTTTTGTTATTCTTTCATAAATATGTAAAGTTATAAGCATTTCACTAGACTTCAAAACTGAAAGGGTGGTGAGTTGGTGGATTGGGACAAAACAAATTGTGTTTTAAAAATGTTGACTTAGATATCAAAACCCACTAATGTTCAATCGAACTACAATGAGCACTGCATTTTAAAGCTTTAAAATATACTGTTTTCGAGTGAATACACTCTGAAGAGTTGCCAGCCATTTAAGTTCTCCTTTAATTGTAACATAATGGGATTCCTGGAAATGAGAGGAGGTTATGTGTATTTTTCTTCTTAAATTTTAAGATGAGCTCTGTATATAATATACAGTGTGTTTCGTAATTGCACGGCACTATTTTAGGTGTGTTCACTAACACAAAATAAACAAAAAAGTTCATATTAACTTATATCTCAAACTCATTTATTAAACAAATATCAAAGGTTAAAGATTTGTTATTTATCATTACTATTTATTTATTATTATTAGAACATTTAGAGTAACTGTTCAAAGGAGCCTCCGTTTTGTTGTATGCAACATTCAGCACGACGATTCAATGCTTCTCAGGCTCGTTCGTATAGCATCAGGATGGTGTTTGATAGCTACTGCGGCTTCCATGATCCAATTTCTTAGCTCTTCTTGGGTGCCAACTGCAGCAGAATAAACCATGGACTTCATCCAGTCCCACACAAAGTAATCTAATGGCGTTAAATCCGAAGATCATGGTTCGATCAACGCATTGGTCTCCATAAGTTGCATTTAAATAATCAGTGACACTATTAGAAAAATGAGCTGGAGCACTGTTATGCATAAAACTCAGCCTATTGGAATATCTTCTGGTAGTTTATAAAGATTATTTTGCAAAAAATGCAAGTAAGATATACCAGACATCCTAGGTGGCAAAAAGAAAGGGCCGATGATGTTATCGCTTAGAAGACCACACCAGACATCTAAAGAAAAGGTATGTTGGCAATGTCCAAGAGCATCGTATGAGGGTTTTCTTCAGCCCAAGTATGGGTATTTGGAAAATTAAGGATCCCGTTTCTTGTAAAGCAAGATTCATCAGTGACCAAAATGCAGTTAAATGCAAATTAACCACTGGGAGAAATTTCTGTGCTTGTTATAATCTTATGGTAACAAATCTTGCCTACTCGATACATGAAATGGATATAATTGTTATTCGCATAAAGTTCGCCTTATGCTGGTAGAGGAAACATCAAAACAACGTGACAATCTTCTGGTACTAGTAGTAGGAGATAACTAAACAGCATCGAGTATTTCTTCTTCAACGTTTGCAGGTTGTCGAAATCTTTGTTGATCGGCGTTTACTCGTATAGGTTTTAGCGTGCCATTACTCCTAAGGCGTCTTTCAATGGCTTCAAACGTTTTACGATTTGGTATTCTTCGGTTAGGAAATTTGGTACTTTTAGTCTAGCAGGCCGGACTGAAACCTCACCTCTTATCTATCTTATCAAACGTCACGTCACATAACCTCCCTCTTCTTATCCCCTTTCAGTTATTGCATTGTTTAGTTTTCAGTTATTCCCTTATTACGTTCACTTATTAAATTGTTTACTTTTGGTCCGTTTGTGTTTATTTTTCATTATTTTTAGTTTTTGGCCCGTTTGTGTTTATTTTACTTTTTTTTTAGTTTGTGGCCCCTTTGTGTTTCTTTTCGTCATATTATGGATCTTCTTAGAATATGGAATTTGACGCCTTCAGAAGAACAGGCACTTCAATATTTTTAAAATGTTGGGGTACTTGCCGACTTGAATCGACGTGTGATCGAGGTCATCGAATGAAGTCAACCTGGAAGGCCAAATGGAGATGCTTTCGTAGGACTTATGACACAAAACTTTCAATAAGGAAAGGAACATGGTTGGAGGGCTCGAGGATTTCGTTTTTAATAGCTTTAAAATTGATTTATGGATGGTCCCATAGCTTGACAACGATGAAGTGGGCCAAAGAGCAGCTGAAACTATTCAACAGAGCTATGGTAACGTGGAACAAATGTCTAAGAGAGGTTTGTTCCCATGACATGTTATACAGGCCAAGAAAAAAAATTGGAGGACCTGGCAAAGTGGTTGAAGTAAAAGAAAGTCTTTTTTCTAAACGAAAAAATCATGTGGGGAGAGTTTTATCTCAGCAGTGGATGTTTGGTGGAGTTTGTCGAGAAACAGATGAATGTTTTATCTTTTTATAAAACCGATTTCGTTTTATATTTTTTCTTTTCTATGTAAATTTGTTCTTTTAAATGTGTTTTTTATTATTTCATTTTGAGGTTTTATATGTACATATCTTCTTAAAGTGTTTTTTTTTATTATTTCATTAATACATGTGTCGTCAAATAAAAGTATTTTTTTTTGTTATTAAATTTGTTTTTATATCTGTTTACACTTTCAATAATACGAATTTAATACAATAATACGAAGATATGAAGTAAAAGAAGGCTTATCAGTGCTTTATGGGAGTTATCAGTGTTCAGGTTATAAACATTGGCAGATAGCAGTCTGTAGCGGCCCCTTAGACGAAAAGTACCGGAAATTTTTCATGATATCTTCGAACAGCAGCACCACCATTTCTATGTACCTCTCCATAAGTCAAAAGCCTATCTGTTTGTTCTGCAAAAGTGAATAAATTTATGTTGTCTCCCATGATAATCATACATTGAACTGTGTCACAGTATTCACTCATACTAAAACAAACAGATAAGCAAATACTGTCATTGTTTACTGTTCATTTGTTAATCAGGTGATTAAGACCTGTTATTTAGTATTAAACTAGTTAAACTTTGTACAGTCAGTCTTAAAGGAGTAAATAAATAATAAATCTTTAACCTTTGATATCTGTTTAATAAATGAGTTTGAGATATATGTTAATATGAACTTTTTTGTTTATTTTGTGTTAGTGAATAAATACCTAAATTGAACTAGTTTTCAAACTATAGGAGTATCAAATAATACGTTTACTGATCCAAAAGTGGAAGTATTTTTTTTAGAATAGTGGATAGAATTTGATAAAATTGGTACTTACTTAATTACTTGTTAACCAATCCCCAACTTCCCTCCGAATTTAATCCAAATTGAATTAGGGGTTGTGCATAATAATTAAAATACAGATATAATTATCTTGAATGAATTTTCTGATACTCATATTAAGAGTGTATTAAGTGTACGGGCGTAATAATCTAGCAATTAATCACCCTAAAATCCTTACCCTACCCCTAAGAGTGTATTGCATGATATCTTTTAAATTTCCTTTTTCACGAAATGAATTGCTTTAACAAAACTTTTAAGCATAAGTTTTAAATAATAAAAGTTTTATAAAACCTTTAATTTAAAAATCCATGAGAAATAAAATCACTTTCTCTCAACTTACTTACTGCTCAACTTCGAATAGAAATTATTTTCTGGCCATGTTGGGCTATTATAAAATTTTTGAATTGCATTTTTAACTGAGCTAAAGCTAAAAGATTGCAGCTAAGAAACCATAAATATTATTGAAATAACAAAAGTTCTATTTATTATATCACCGGTTGATTATGGATTGTATGAATATTAGTTATTAAACTGTAATTTTCCATTGATAAGTTTAATAAAACAGAATAGAGATTTCCATTGTCTGTCATAAACAGGTCAAAATTTGTCACACTGATTGTAAGTGGATTCTGTTGGAATATCGCTAAGGGAAAATTTATCACATTATTCACTAATTTAATTTTCTAAAAGGTTACATAATGATTTTTCAGAATAAACGGACAATAGATACCTAATGATTTAAATATAATGTCAGATCTAGAGTTATTAAACTACAGTAAATATATTTAAGGTTACAAATGTATCCATGAAATATTTTTATTTTTCTCTTCTTCTTTCACACAAGTACAATAAAATAGTATCTTAAACAATGTCATTACCTGGAATCTGTGAGTTTTAAATACACTTACAAACTTTAAAAAATTTTTAAAAGTTTACATTTAGTCAGGAAATTTCATCTAATTTCCTTGAAAACATGTTATTATTTATATTTTTTTCGCCACTCTTCCTTACCTTCAACAACTATCTCTATTAGATATTGTTTTTTCTAAAATTCCCCGCTTTCCAATGATACATAATACGTATACCTTCTGACCAGTATTTCCGGAGATTCATTTTCGACCTGAATAAGTATTTTTATTTTTCTCCTTTATTTAATTATCAAATGCTTCCAAAAGTTATATTTAGCATCTTTCCATAACTCCTAACAATGATTAATAGTTATTACTTATAATAAACCAAATTAAAGATACTTTTGAGGAAAATATGATAATGTTAAGATTTTATAAAGGGAAAATTCATCAAATTATTCACTAATTTAATTTTCTAAAAAGTTACATGACAATTTTTTGGAATAAACGTTGATACCTAATTATTTAAATATAATATCAGATCTGTAATCACTAAACTACAGTAAATGTATTTAATGTTATGAACATATGCTTTATACATCCATGAAATGATTTTATATTTTACTTCTTCTTTCACACAAGAATAATAAAATAGTTTCTTTAACAATGTCATTGCCTTAATTAGGTGGATTTTAAATACTTTCTGCAAACGAAAAATATTTTTTAAAGTTTACATTTAGTTAGTATATTTAATTTAATTTTCTCAAAAACTTGTGATTTACGTTAAATATTATCAGTTTTCAAAAATTATTATTTATAATTTTTTCGCCACTCTCCGTTATCTTCTACAACTTTCTATATTAGGTATTGTTTTTTCTAAAATTCTCTGCTTTCCAACGATATATCATACGTATACCTTCTGGCCAGTATTTCCGGAGATTCATTTTCGTCCTGGATAAGCATTTTTATATTTCTCCTTTATTAACTTATCAAATTCTTTCAAATTTCAAATTCAAATGGGGATAAGACATACACCAAGTTTAATCAAAATTGTTAGAGCCGTTTTTGAGAAAATTGGAAAAATGTGTTTCAGCGCTCATATAAAGTGGCACTTCCACTTAGCCGATTCCAAGGAAAAAGTTGCTGTCACACCTAAGGCATATACCTATCTTAAATACGTAATATCAGTTTCGTACGATTTTTCGTTTTTGAGCTAGACTGCTAACATACACACACTGACCACTTTTCGGATTTGGTTATTTGGAATCAAGGTACCCCAAATGTGTATTTATGTTGAAAACTCAGATTCCAAAATTTTCTCGATCGCAGTACTTACACTTACTATATATTGCATACATACGTAAGTGAAAGTAAAAAAGTTGTTGCTCAAAAAACAAAACAAAAGAAATAAAAAATAAAAATTTCACTCAAATTGTTAGTGAATAAAAGTAAAAGTTAACTTTTCATTTCAACTCTCTTCATAAATATGATTTCGTGATTATCTGTGTATTATTATTGAGTTTGTTTGTTTTTCTAGGGAACCAGATCATATTAATTTTATGCCTGTCCATCATGAAAGAAAAATATTTCACAGGTATTTAATTTTAATTTTTAGTCAGAACTTTTCTTATCTGCATGGTTTAAGTTCCTTTCTATGCCAACTATTTTAATTAAATTTTCCATGACTAAATAATTAGTTGAGTTGTGGAGGTGTTAAATATTGTACCTATTATGTAAAATTATTATTAAATAACAGTTTTTTTAAAAAAATTAATATTTTGAAACTTAAGAGAAAATTATAAAAACTTATCAACTATTGATGTCTAAAAACAATGAATTTAGAGTGGTCTTGAAAGATCTTCACTCAACCACCCCTACAACTGTTTTCATTAGAGGGCTAGAAGAAATGGACACATATCCAATGTATAAAATATCAATTACTATTATTTTTTAATGATTTACAGATTGCCAGAGTTAATATAGAATTATTTCAAGTGATGAGACTTGTATATTCAACTGTCAAATTTGAGCAACTCAAACAAAAACCTGTTATAGTACAACTATCTGTCTAAACTTAAGGCACGCCTACTGCTATTAAGCCATTTGCGTCAAACGTGCTGACTCAAACACATCTAACTCTTGCTAGAAATCATAAGATGAGTTTGTTAAATGGCAGAATATCCTGCAAGCTACAGAGGCTATACAGTTTACAAAAATTTCTTTGGCCAGAGATCTCAGAACATAAGCCTTAAAAAGCCTAAAGTCATATCAGAAAAGTTTCACCTAGGCATATGAAATTGAAAATTCATCAAATTTCTCAGAGTTGCCAATTTTGTGAAAAACAGATAATTTCTATAAATTCCTGCAATTTCGAAATGAGTTTTCTTAGAAGAACAACTCATACTATAAAAGAAACTTTCAGATTGGGCACCATAGGCTATAGAGATCCCCTAATAGTTTAACAAAAACAAAGTGTATATACTCTTATGTCAATCAAGCCAATATTAGCCAACAATTTACATATTGAACTTTACCCCACTCTTTCATAAGGAAAGTCATGTGAGGGGGCATGTCACATATACCTGATGTCTAACTATTGAGAAATTATCAACCATTGTATAATAATTTGTAGTTTTTTTAGTCTAAGAACCTAAACTCTTTCTTATAGATTATGTATAAAAACAATAAGTGTATTTTTTATTATTACTTTTTTTAATAATTTCATTTTGTACGTAATATTTTTAGGGAGTCTTCACTTCCTCCTCCAATAATGAGAAATAGGATTCATGAATCAAGAAAACCAGAATTTTTCGAAAACAGAAGGTACTTTTATAAAAAAAATTGTACAGAACTATTTCTAAATAATACTTAGAAATAACTATAATAGTTAACATTAATTATTAGGATATTTTTGATGTGTTATTTTCAATAAAATAAATATGACAGCTTAATGAACTACACCAAGGAATAAAAGTTTCAATCCTTTACTATTTGATCAGTCACTGTTTAATAACAATTAATTAATAATTCTTTATTACTAATTGTTCAGAAATAAATTACGGAGGTCATCTATAATAATTATTCTATAAAAATGTAGAGTTTGTTGATTTGGATGCTCGAATTTCAGGAACAACCTATGATTTTTTTTTCTACAGATAAGTCGAAATTGTTATCTGAAGAATAATTTCATTTTTCATAACTGTGGATTGATGGTTGACTGTCGTGAATAATGAAGAGAAGGATGGTTGGGGTGATCAGTCAGAATTAAAAAGGCAAAATAAATAATAATATTTATTTTAACATATGCCAACGTTTTGGCTTCAATTTCATTTTTCAGTTTTTTAAAATGAAAAATAAAAACCTTTTAAAAGGACAACTTTTTATGTAATTTTTCTGAGAATCGATAGAAATAACGTTTTGTGACATGCCACACGTACCTATATGATTTATAAATATTTGACTTGAGTATTTCCAGTCAAACGTGAACATAAGATGCTATTAAAGGTGGTAAAATCGCTGGACATGTCTAGTAATGGACATGGTGGGCCCAGTAATGTATATAACGGAATATATAACGGAAACGGTTTAGCCCAGTGATGGAGACCCCTGTCTAAGACTGGTTAGAGATGTTTTAGAGAAAAATTAAGAATACTATGTAATTTTCCGTTGTTTACAGACTCCGAAAATTCGAAAACATGATAAATTTTCGTAGAAGTACAGAGCACCAGTAATGGATATGGGTGTCCAAAACTAGATTTTGGCCGATTTTTTACCCCTTAAAAGTCACTAAAAACATTAATTTCAATTAAATTTAATACTAAAACTGAATAGCTGAGGTTCTAAAATGATTAATTGAATATTTTCATAGTGAAAACTCTAAAATTTTAACACCATGAACATAAATGTTCAACTTACTCTTAGCAGAACTGTTAGTAGGAAGATATATAACACACCAATCTCAAGAGCATTATATAAACCACAATGATAGGCGTTCTAAAATCTTCTTTTGGAAACTTTTTTCATACAGTTGTCAATAAAGGGCATTGTTCTTCAATATAGAAAAAACTGGAACCTTTAAATCAACAAGAAAGATTATTATTTACATTAAATGTCCACATTATCCATCGCTGGGTCCCCTGTCCATAACTGGTATGTTCATCCTAAATATGAAATAATATCAACTCTCGCATTTATGAAAACCGCACACGCTTATGTATAGAAGCCTGATCTAACCTTCAGCAAAGCTCAGCTTTATATCAGGCTTCAATTTGAAAAGATTTAATTATTTCAAATTAAAGATACTTTAGAGGAAGAAATTTTGAAAATTATGCATTTAAGTCCTGATAGAGAACATCGATAAGAATGAGACCTACATTATATTAAAAAACATTAGATTTTACATTAATGAAAGGAATTGAATCAAAATCGTTACGTCGTTTTCAAAAAAATCATATAAATGTCTAAAATCGATGATATAAAGTGCCATTTCCGGTTAGCCGATTTTAATGAAAAAGTTACTGTATCATCCCAGGCCTATAAAAACCTTAAATACACAATTTCAGTTTAGTACCACTTTTTGCTTTTAGGATAGACAGTTCACCCACACACACAGATACAAACCATTTTGTGAGATTTGGCTATTTAAAATCAGTGGTTTCACTATTGTAATACTTTCACTTACTATATTTTTTATATGTTGGTAAGTGAAAGTAAAAATGAAATCTTCATCAATCTGTTCATGATACTAATACCTGATTTGAACAAAAATAATATAGTATATTTAAGTAATACTTGGTAAATTATTTCATTTCTGTTAAGCTTCAGAATTTATATTTTATATTAAAAGTTCTATATCTGTCTTGTTTGTTTTAGTTTACCTCAATCACAAAGGAATCCAGTTAAAAAAAAGTATGTATGTTTATGTGTTCTTAATTTTTTAAATGAATTTATTTTGGTTTCCAAAGTGTGCTGTGCTATTAAGAGTCTTAGGTCAGGTTCAGTTTTTTTTTTAGTTTTATATTTTTTTGATCATCATTCATACAAGGAAGTGATGTTAGGATCTACTTGCCTGTTGAGCAGCCTTCCTTTACTTTAATGCTTCTTACTGTATGTCTATTTCTATAGCTTTAGTTTTTAGTTTAATTGTTTTTCTCCATATTTCAGCATTAGCATTAATAATTAATAACAATAACAATTCTTTAGCGTTTTAATAAATATATATTTATATCTATTAATGAATATGAACATTAAGAATAAAAACAGTACGGCCACACTGTTCTAGTCGTATATTATATGATGCTCATTTAATTTGCTCTCAAAGGACTTTGTCCCAGAATATTAAATATATTTTTTCTTTTCATTGCGTCCATTTTTTTATCTTAGCATATTGAAGCATATATTCATTCAATCATATCACTGATCTGATAGAGGCTGTGTGAGCCCTATGTGGGTCTCCCGACCCCTTTGCCAATCCAAGGCATATTTAATACTGCAATTAAATTATCTACCACAGCTGATCTTGAACTGTATTGAAAAAAAGTCCGATAGCTCAAAACAATTTAATCTCTCTATTATATAAAACAGTTTTTTGTGACTTTCATGTTTTATTTTATTTTTGCATTAGGAGAGTAGGAGATAACTGGAGTTGAACTTTTCTAGCCCTACTCTTAGGCTCGATAGTGCTGTAGGGTGATTATTTTATAAATTATACAGCCGTTCATTTAATTTTGTATGTGTTGAGCTCCTACTGTCTTCACCTACTCTCTTAATACAAAATAAAGATTTTAGACTAAAAATGTTGTCTAGACATTTCCACTTGAATATAATATATTAATTATTATATTACATTGTGGTACAATTATAATTATTATGAAATAGAAAAGGGGGCACAATATAACACACAATGAAAATATTAGATGTAAAAGGCTCAAATTATTGTTGGGCTTATATGAAGCTGAACAAGTTGAATATATGGTTACAAATTGCCAATAAGAATTATTATGTATAATATGGATTTTTAAAGAAATTACAAATTTGTCTGAGCTGTGGTTTCGTTCTGTTTATTTTATCTTGATAAAAAATAATACTATCTGAACTACCGAATACATGTAAATGACAATTATAAAATTTGAACAATGAATAGTGCAATTAAATGAACAGTTGTATAATTTTTAAAATGGGGGTTGGTCTACCTCAAGGCAGACAGGGGTTATCTCCCCTAGTAATTATATTTTATTTTATAATGATTATCAATAATAAAATATTAATAATTAAAAACGATCAATGTCTTCTTTTCACTGAACTCAATTTGAAAAAAAAAAAAGATGTTCTGTGAGCACCTATGTTTTTTTGAAATGTTTGTTTTGTTTTGAAAATAATTTAAACTTTATTGGGAATATTATTATTCATTTGTATCTTAATGACACTTTGAGTATATTAAGATGTATTTATTTTGTTATTAATTTTTTTGTAAGCCTTTTCAAAACTAACTTATTTTTTAATTATGCGTATTTTATAGTATTGATGATGATTATCCCTCTTCAGCTTTCAAGAGGACTATAAAAGCGGATCAAAAGAGGTACATAAAATGTTTCATTATATTTTTGTTATATTTTGATTCAAATAAATACATTTTTATAATCTTAAAATATAATTAGCTTGTAATAATATAATGCTACCTATAATTCAGTTAATTAATTAAATTGCGTTATTGATTTGATAATTGTTAAAATATCAGTTTTTGATAGATAAAAAAAATTTAAACTTAGAAGAAGCATTGGTATTTATATAAGTTCTGTTTAACTAGAAACTCGATAGCTGTTTAAAATCAAACTTAAGGTTAGGTTACATTTAATTCATATGAATAGAGAATTTAAGGTATTTTAAAAAGCCAAGATAATGGTTTTTAAAAAAAATTTTACTTGAAAATTAATAAAATGTTTTTTTCTTATCTGTTTAATAATTTATTTGTTTTAGTGAAGAAATGCTTATGACTTGGTCAGATTCTGAAAGTGATTCAAAAGATGCAAGTTGGGTTGATTCAGATATGGATCATAAATCAGACGAACCAGAAACACCAACAAAAGTTGTTTTAAAAGATGAGCAAAAACTGATATCAATGATTTGGGTAAGGGTAATGATTTAACCTAAATTTAAGAATTACCTCTTTGATTAAACATTAAATTTCTTGCGAAATTCCCATTTAGAGTAGATGTAAACTACTATCGAAGTTGTGATATTTTCTTTAATTTTTCCATCTTCTAAATAAAACATTGTGTGACAAAAATATTGATTGGTTGACCCCCTAATAATGTCCTATTTGTTACTTTCACTTTTCTGTATAAGATTTTGTTAGGAGAAGAATTGTGATCATGAAAAATTTTTAATACTAGTTTTCAACAAAATTACAGTAGAGTCAATTTAATCCAGACTCTGCTTATCCTAGTTAATTCAGACAGTATTAAAAAAATATACATCAAAATATTATTTTGTTGTGGAAGGAAGTTCCAACCGTTGGTCATTGAATTTGTCTATTCTCAGAAAAGATTTACCTTTTACGCAGACACTGTTCTTGTGGTGGAATTTTCGACTTATTATCACATATATATATATATATATATATATATATATATATATTTTTTTTTTTTTATCTTCATTTACTTGTAGGTATTGATTTGCTCTGTTTCTCTTATCAGAGCGATAGCAAGTTTCTCAATGTCCTCTTGCTTGCTTCCAAAGAGAGCTATATCATCCATATATTATCTATATGGGTATATATAGGTTTTTTCATGAATTCAGACATGCACCCCTCCATTTTCATGCGATATTGTTATATCACCTTCTCCAGAAATAAGTTGAAGAACATCGATGAGAATCCATCTCCCTGCCTTGAGCCCATTTGAACTTTGAAAGCTTCAGATACTTGTCATTGTATTAGGACTCTACATTTAGTGTCATTTGCACACATTGTTACCTCTATCTGTAGTAAGCTTTAAAACAATACTAGATGGGGAAAAAAATTAATTATAAATAAAGAAACCTTAATGAATAGGAAAAGTTAACTATTCTAATAAATTATCTTAAGTTCTTTGTAAACAATTATAATTAAATACTATTAAAATCTAAACTAAAATAATAATTCCTTAGCCTAGCATCTATATGAATAAAAATGTTAATGTTCGTTTTTTCAAAACCTATTCGTTGATTGCTTTGAAATTTTGACATAACGTTCCTTTTGGATTCAGGAGTGTTTTTATATTCATTTAATTACTATGGTCCGAAAAATCTGTGTCACTATATACTGTAGCACCCAAATGGCTGTAACAATTTTAATTTAATTTGGATAAAGTTTTCTTCTTCAAGCTCTTTTAACTTATGTATATAACATGCTTCTCCGAAAAGAGTATGAAAAAAAAAGTTACTACGGATTCAGAACTATATTTGTGATTAATTCAAAAAATACAAAAGTTTTTAATCATTATACTCATGATTATTTGAAAGCTTTCTGAATTCTCTATAAATTAACAAAAAATCACTTGGTGAAAAAGAAAAAACGATTTGCTGCAGAGATATAATGTTCTAAACCAGTGTTGGGCAAAATTTATCTTAAATAAAAGATAATAGATAACGAATAATTTATTCGAACTTTTCAACTACAAATAACGAATAATTGTGTTTATCTTTTATCTAGATAATAAATAAATTCAAGTTATCTGTTATCTTTTTATTTGTTATTCGACGTATTTCAAATAAATTTTGAATAATTTGACGCTAATTTTATTTTTTCTTCTATATACGGGCCAATGTGTGTATTTTCAGATCCATAGTTTTTGAAAATTATCACCATTTTAAGATTACACCACTGCATTGCGACTTTTTTGAGTTTTTAGGATTTCTTCCATATCAGGGTTTTTATGAAAATTCTGTCGGATTTAAAATAGAGCCTCCCCTCCCAAACCGACTTTTTGTAACTATTCAGATTTAATTGAAATGAGGGTCGACTAATATGTTTTAGGGTTCCCTTTTTATGAAAATACTGTCGGATTTGAAATAGCGCCCCCCCCCCAAAAAACCGACTTTTTGTAACTTGTTTGGTTAAATCGATATGAGGGTCGAATATTATGTTTTTTGTGGTGTGGCTTTTTATGAAAATAATATTGGATTTTAGATTGTGTCCTCCCACCATCCCCCGCTTCGACTTTTTGTAACTTTCCGGATTTAATTGATATGAGGGTCAACTGTTATGTTTTAGAGGGTGCTTTCTATGAAAATACTGTCGGATTTAAGAAAAGTCGATAGGAGAAGGGGCGCAACTTAAAATCCAAAAAGTCATTGCGGGGGAGGGGGGGGAGGCGCTATCTCAAATCAGACAGTATTTTTCATAAAAACTGCCCCCTAAAATATAATAGTCGACACTCATATCAATTAAACCTGAAAAGTTAAAAAAAACGGTTTGAAGGGAGGGGGGAGGGCGCTATCTCAAAACCGACAGCATTTTCATAAAAAGAGCCCCCAAAAACATAATAGTCGACCCTCATATCAATTAAATCCGAAAAGATACAAATACTCGGTTGGGGAGAGGGGGGCTCTATCTCAAATCTGACAGTTTTTTTTATAAAAAGGGCCCCCGTAAAACATATAAACAGACTTAAATTTCGAAGAAATCCTAAAATTGCAAAAAAGATTATTCGAATCGTATTTTCATCTTAAATAACGAATAATAGATAACAGATAATGCATATTATTTGTAAATAACAAATAACAAATATTCATCTGTCCAAAGATCGTCGAATAAGAAATAACGAATAAAAATTTATCTATTATTCGTTATCTAGATAAAATTTCAAATAATTTATTTAAATAACGCCCAACACTGTTCTAAACATTAGGTACTTTTTTTTCGGAGATTTAGAGATGGATTGCTTCTCACATAGAGAATTATATATAGCTTATTCTAGATTTGGGAAATCAGACAATCTCTATATCGGTAAAAAGAATAGAACAAAAAAAAAAAAAAAATCGTATATCCACAAGTATTGTATAATGAAACATTAGAAACATATTTGAAACATCTGGATTCTTTTTTATTTATTTTTCTATTTAAACAGACTAAGCAACGCATGGTTGGGGTGTCCAGCTAGTAACTATATAAAAAATTATCTTGTAGGCAACCAGGAGTGCCTCTGTAATTACTGCACTCATATATGAAGGTTTTTTTTTAGTTTAGGAAAGATTGATCTTGTATTCCAAGCCTCTGGAATCCTTTCCTCCTTCCGTATTTTCTGGATTAGTTATAGTAGCTTTGTTCTTAAGTTTTCTCCCCCATCTTTAAACAGCTCTGCTGATAGGCTTTCCATTTCTGGTGCATTTCCTTTTTTTTTTAGTCTTTTGATAGCTATTTCCACATCCAGTATATTTGGTTTTTCAACATTTTTTGAGCTGAGATCCTCAGTGTATTCAAGACCACCTTTAATAAATAAGAAGGTTTAATTTTTGTTTGCTTTGTTGGATTGTTTCAAGTTTACGAGCCTGTTAGTATATTTATGTATGTGATAACAAATAAATAAATTGTAATATCTGTACATTATTGTTTTTTTTTTATAGATTTTTATAGTCGATTTTGTTAATTAACTACTGTCAACCAGGACAACTTTGCCAATTATTTTTCTTCTTTCAACCGCTTTGCAAACTTAACTGTGAATGATAATTCTTCAAACTATCTTTAACCATTAGTCAAGATTTCTTTTTTCACAATCTGTGGAAACATGACACTTAAATGTTTATATGCTAAAAAAAAAAAAAAAAATCGGCACCAGAAAAATGGAAACTGCAAACACCAGAAATTAAAATCATAAATCATTAAAACGTATTGCAATAACCATTATTATATGGTTTGTTGGGGAAGTGATGTGGATGAATTGAACTGACAAGATTATTTAGTCATACAGTCAGTTTAATTTCTATTGGTTTCCATACCATGCCAACCTGCTAACTGATTTTGTATAGAGAAAACCAAGAGTGCCATCACTCCATTCAGATAGTGTATGGCCCAATGCTTCTCATTTTATCACCACTGAGCCAATAATATCAGATGCTAGGTTGAGTTGCGCATCATGGCATCATTTCTTTTCTGTTTTGTATCTTGTTAAGATATTATTTTATTTTATTTTTATTAGTGCAATTTTTTTTTTTGTAGGTATTTAAAACAAAATTGTTTTAATTATTGTTATATAATATATGGGATGATATTACTTATTTCTAGCAATTCTGTGAATAGTAGACCTGACTAAAAAAAAATGTATCATCAGCTCTTTTTAGTAACATTTAAAGATTTAATTAAAGCCATTGCTAGTTGAAATTAATTGAGGAGCCAATATTGTTTTTTAAGACACCTCTCAGATTTTGATGTTTATACCCATGGATGTCCACAGAGTGAAGTTATAACCAAATTTGCATTATTAAATTCTTGGATGGTGGCCTAAAAGTGAATTTTGGATGTTTGAGGAGAAGGGAAGTCAATAAGATAAATAGTAAAATGATCATAGTTTTGTTGCTCTCAAGCTGTTTAACAATCAGTGGCATGCAGTTCTAACATTCAGAGCATTATCTACTTATACATTTTGATCTTTGAAAACAATTGACCCATTGTTGTTTGACTTTTCTATGAAAATTAGTTCACATATTCATGTATATATTTAATTCTACTAAACACTCAATATTTATATCTGTTATATTATTCTATTATGGCCTATTATATTTTCATAAACAATATTTTCTTCTAATAGTAAAAATTCTTGAAACATATGGTGTAATTGTAATTTAGTGTTGGAAAATATCAAATATTGACAAAAAATGAGCCAGATATAAAAATAAAAAATACATAATTACTGGACCCATACAATTAATAAATTACCCTTTGTTTTTCCTTTTTCATAAATATTACACCATAAAAATCAATATTTGGTGTCATGAATGTTATTGATGTAAAACAAATTTTTGATGATCGTGCCATTAAAACAACCATCATCTTGGATCAGAATTAAAAATTACGAATCTGTATACATATTTCTTTTTTCATAACTTCAAGAAACATTTATACCAAATTTGAAGGAAATCAAATTACTTATGAATAAGCTTAAGTTCATGAAGACTGGAACCTAAACTTGCCTCATATGGATGTTGGTGAATGTGCTTGTTTCAGATGTCATTTTACTGGATTATACCCATCGAGATAACATCCAAAGTAAGGAATCGTGTGTGGCCATCATTAAAAAATTAAGTGATTTGACAATTTTATAACTCAGTGTGTGGTACCTATCCATCTATCTTTAGATTAAGAAAATTGTGATTAAGATTTGTTCTCACAAAAATCACCATATTTTTCAAAAAGTGGCCTAGTTGTCCTAGTTGACAGTAAGTAAGGTTTGTTGATTTCTTATTTTTAAACTTTGTTAAAAAAATAATTTTTTTTTCTGTTTTTCAGAGTGATGGAAGTGATAATGAAGGTAAGTTATCTATTTTTTCTTCTATACTGATAATTCTCTACATATAAAATGGACTTTAAAAATTCATGACTTCAACACCAACCTATTATTTCCTTCCTCTGACCAACCCTATTTATCAAACCTCCTCTACTCCCTTAATCTGTAAATAGTCCCTTTCAACCCTACTCATCACATCCAATAGTCCGATTCTTGGCTCGATCTTGGCTTATTGACTCTCCTGATAAACTCCTTGCCTCATCATAGCACCCTTTCCTGTAGGTTCCTTTTTTGTCTGATCATGATCTCATACAGGTCCCCTATAACCTTCAGCTGTTATGTCCCCGATCTATATCTTTTAGAAACCTTAATTTCCTCTCATCCGAAACTCTGACGTCTGATCTTCATACAATCCAATGGGAACAGAAACTTTATCCAGTCATCTACACATTATCTTGGACCATCATGTTCCTCTTAAAGTTAGGACAATCAAATATCCCCCAGCCCCTTGGTTGACACCTACGATAAAAGATTCTATTAAATAAAAAGATGCGGCTAGATGAAGGTTTAAACGCACTTGACTTTCCGGAGACTATACGAACTTTAAGCTACTTCGTAGCAGTATGCAATCCTTGATACGCCGTGCTAATCCCATTACTTTCAACAATTCTTAACCAGCACTCCAAACTCCAAAGCCATGTGGGCAATCCTCCATGAATTATCATTAGGCAAACCCACCCAAACCCAGTCTACCTCTATTTTAGCTGACATACTCAACACATTTATTCCTCCTTTAATCCCAATTCTATTTTCTTTTCTCATATTACCCCTGACGACCTCCTTAAATCCATTTGTAAATCCCAAACCAATGATTTCGGACCAAATAATATCCCAGTTAAATTAATTAAATCCTCACTTCCATCTATTCTCCCAATCCTTACTCATGTCTATAACTTTTAACTACAAAGTTCCCAGCACCTGAAAAACTTCCTTCATCCAATGAACAAAATCTCTAATCCTGCAACCCCTAATGATTTCCGTCTAATCAGCCTTATCTAACCTTTCCAAACCTTTAGAACGAATACTATAATCCCAACTATCCCACTATCTCGAACAAAATAATCTTCTGAACTGCTTCCAGTCCAGTTTTAGACCTGATTACTCTACTCATTCCGCCCTCATTAAAATTCCCAAGATCTCCACACAGCCATAGACCAACAGAAACTCAGCATCCTGATCCTTCTTGATTTCTCTAAAGCATTTGACTCAGTTGACCATAATATCCTCCTAACCAAACTTAATATTTCCTTATCATTTAGTGCTCTTAAGTGGTTCCAATCTTTTCTTACCAATCGCTCCCAGTAAGTTGTAGCTCCTAATAACCATCAATCAATGTCTCTACCTCTGTCCAGAGCGTCCCACCAGGTTCCTCTTTTCCATCTATATCAATGACCTCCAGTCCAGTGACTCTGGAATTCCACTATCAAGTATTGTCAATATCACCTATATACCGACAACGTCCAAATTTACCATTCCTTCAACCAGGTGAATTCCTCTAATGCCATTCTGAAACTACAACAAGACATCAATAGAATATGCGCATGGCAAATCTTAATAAGCTCGCACTAAATATGGAGAAGATAAAAGCCATCCTGATCAGATCCCCCTCACTTCTCAAATCCATTTCAGTACGTCCCAATCTTCTCCTGAACAACTCACCTATCTCCTTCCATACAACCGTTAAAAACCTTGGTGTCACCCTCCATCAAACCCTCTCCTGGAAACCACACATGTCCCAAATTTTCTGCCATGCTATTTCCACCCTGAAACAGTTTTACCATCTACATTATCTTCTTCCATTCAAAACTGGTCAACTCCTGGTTTCATCTCTTGTTTTCCCCCACTTTGACTATGGTTGTATGGTGTATGGTGGACTCCCGGGTTAACTTGAAGCTAAACTTAAATGTCTAATGAATTGCTCAATATGCTTTATCTTCGGGATCTCAAGGGATACGCATATTACCCAGTTTTACACCGAGTTGAAATGGCTTTATCCATCCTACCGCCATCAGTATTTTCTTGCTACCTTCCCATACCAGGCTATTAGATCTCGGCGACCCTCCTATATTCTACATATCCTACAATTCGAATGTTCCTTTCAACCCCTTCCCACCAGATGCCGTATGTCCGACCTCTATTCTCTTCCTTACGGAACTGCTGTGTTTGACAAAACCTTTTTAATTCAAGCTGTCTCCCTCTGGAATTCTATCCTCTCTGATATTCGACACGCAAAGTCAGTATCCTCTTTCAAATCTCTCCTCTTCATACACCAACTCCATTCCCAATCCGGTTGATCATGAAATCCACTTAAAATTCTAAGTCGTAAGAATCTCAAAGTATCTTCAGATACTTTGATTATTTTATGATTTATTGATATTTTGTTTATTTATTTTACTTTCTCTGTTTATTTTATATTTATGTACGTTTTTATTATTTGTACTTATATTTTATTATTACTAATCATCCTGTAAATATTTAATTTTATTTTAGCTTCTTGACTCTTACGTTTCGGGACAATTTCCCCATCATCAGAGTAATATTTTTATATTTGCATCCATTTGTTTTTTTTTTTTTGATGTGGCACCATTTGTCAAAAATTAAATATTTGTCATATTTTTTAAAAATTATTTGGTGTTACAAATATGGAGTGAATATGTGCAACACCAAATAATTTTTTTAAAATATGACAAATATTTAATTTTTGACAAATGGTGCCACACCAAAAAAAAAAAAAAAAAAAAAAAAAAAAAAAAAAAAAAAAAAAAAGAATGTAAAAATAAAAATATTACTCTGATGATGGGAAAATTGTCCCGAAACGTAAGAGTCAAGAAGCATTTATAAAAAAATATGAAGAAAATTGGAAGTTTTATTGCCCAAAATATGAAAAAATTATAAACGTAAGCTTCCTAATAAAAAAAGAAAAATAAGAAGATAAAAATATTAATATAAATTCTATATTTTTAATTTGTTCTAAAGGGACATTAGTCCCTGAATAATAAAATTATTTTCATTTCATTCAAATATGATGAACTTTTGAAATGTCTGAATGATATGCTTACATATTTTTTATTACAGTGAAAAAATTAAAATGATTCAATACTTTCAAATTTTAATTTTAACAGCCTGTACAATCTTAGTTTGAGGCGTATTACCGACAAACTGTACATCAAGGGTTCCCAATCCTGTGTCTGTGGTTACCATTTTTCCTATATGATGAAATCACAAATGCCTGACTTAGGCGTATCCAATTGTTTCTTATTAGTAATTAATTGTAAATATGATTGTTTTTCTTTGAAAGTAGTCATTTATGAATAACAAAGCATTTTAACAATATTTTCCAGTCGATCTTCATCATTATTTTTTCTTTTACTTTTTCAAGAAACAAAATAAATTACAAAGTTATGCATTTTGTATTAAACGTGTCTAATCACTAGTTATGTGCACATATGTCTCTTTTGTTTAAAATTATTATATTCTTATTCTCCAAATTAGCATGTTCTTTGATTACAAAATGCAGTATGTATATCACATTATCTGCTACATTTGTATTTCAGGTACTGAAATTTTATTTCTAGTATATATTCATCAATTATTAAATAATTATTTACTTTATACTAGAAACTTTTTTAGATTTTAAAATTAAATTTTTTTCATATAAAAAATCACAAACTATGAAAAATCTAGGAAAAACACAAAGTAGTACCCACTGATCGACTGTTAACTTAAAAATATGTTTTCAAGTAGAAAAATATTGGGGACACCTACTCTGCATGGTAACTAGTATAGATATCCTATGTGCTATGTCCCAACATTTCTATACTACTTCGGTGGTGAAAGAATCTTTAAAGCTTTTTCTAGTCTTACTACCATCTAGTAGATCCCAATGAAACTATTAGATGAACAATAACTTTTAAAGATTCAATTAATTTACTTAGTTTTACCTATCATTTTTCAGATAGCCCATCAGCTACTGATAAAATTTCTTCACCAGCAAAAGGTATGAGTTAAAAACTGTAGATGTTTGTAAGTAATTAGTAAACAAAATAAATAATTATTTTTTAATTATTTCCTTTATCATCATTGTGGAGTTGTTTTATTTAGGAAGATGTCCTTTCAAATACTCTATGAAATCTCTTCCGCGATATGATGGGAAAACTATAATTGGTAAGTGATTTTATATACTGTACCAAAAGTAATCTAATGGGGATAAGGATTGATTTTTGTGGAGAAATATTTTTTATTGAAAAAAATTAGTTTATGGCAACCTGTCGTGTTTCAAAGATGAGAAAATTGTTTTAGTGTTATCTTATTGTGGAAATAGAATGTACTTTCTACTAAACTTGAGCGTCTGGGGATGGGTGATCATTTAATCGCCAGTAATTTATTTGGTAGATTAACAGTCTACCAAGTGATTAATAGACTAACGAGTGTTGATTCTCCCTCTTTAATTATTGTTTTTCCCTTATTATTTTGCTTTTTTTTTTTTTTTTTGAGCATTACAAAAAATCATGTCATGAACATAGATTTTTTTATATCTGAATTAAAAACTGAAAGATACCAATAATAAGTCATTCATTTAATCGTTCTTTTTAAATCTTGGAAGCAGTGCATACAACACTAGTAGTTTTTTTAAAATCATCAGAGATCATCAGAGATTGAGTTTCATAGCAACTTTTTAACATACTAATAAGTTAACAAAACTGATAAGTATCAGAACTATTTAGTGACCAAACCAAGAAATTTCTAGTGCCCATCTATTTTAATAGCTTTAATTTTTATCTTAGGTATATTTATTGCTGGCAATTTTATTTCTTTGGCATGAAATATTAATTGAGATTTTTAATTATTTACTAGATTTTCAAATTCATGTTTGTAGTCTTACCTGAACCTACAACCCATAAAGTTTTGTTGGGTTCATTACTTTGGCAAGAAGTACTGTTTTCTAACCAATATAAGAGTTGTGGTCAGCATTATACGCCCACTTAGGAAAGGCCTGGGAGTGCTCAAGATTTAAGAATTATTTTATAATTATAATTACGACATTGTTTTTAGATCTAAATATTGAATAAAATTTATTAATATTGCCTTTTACATTCTTCCAATAATATATTTTCTTATATTTGCCATTACTACCTAATTGCCTAATACAAGCATTTTTCCTGTGTGCCTCTCCTTTAGATAACCAACTTTATTTTTAACATCTAGTTACAATGTTATCTTATGAAAATTTTCAAACTACATTGACATCCTTAACAGACAATAATTAAAATCACTAAAAAAATAAATAATTCTTTGAAATGATTAATTTTTTTTAAATGGTTACCATTTGCTCCTTTTATGCCCCACAGTCTCTGCTATATCTACTCTATTCAATACATCACCATTCATTTTGTTTTCTAAAATTCTGGCACTGAATCCTTTTGTATATATATTATTCTGATTTAGTTTAAATATGTGAATTGAATTATTATTTGTTATGATAAATTTAATGGACGCTAAATTTAATTTCTTCTATTCTGGTTAATCCATCATTATTATGATAATAAATGTCTAGTTTCTTTGTATATGTTTAAGGTACTTTTGTTTTATTACATTGTTTATAATAACAGTTGCTTTTTTTTTTTTCTAAAATAAGTTTTATAACATTGTAAGTTGCACATCAGTTCTTTAATACGTATTTTCTGGTTTGTTACAGGAGATGAAGGAATGTTCGAAATCAAATCATTTCATTGTACTTATTGCAATATAATTTGTTTAGATAAGGAGAAAAGTAAAACTCACATGCTTTCAAAATACCATTATAAGCATTATAAGAAAGAACTGGAAGTAAGTAATAATTCACAGCACAAATTAAAAAGATAAGGGACTAATCATCAATTTCTACTTATCATTAATATTTTTTATCATGAATACATAATTTAATTATACTAACATGGATCATGTTTTGTTGGTAATTATTTGTTGAATATAAACAACTTCTCAGTGAGTCAATGAACTGCAGCCAGTATTGAATGAAATATTGTATAGAAAATTACTAGTTTGGTTGACTTTTTGAGAATATTCCTTAACAAGGATTCCTCCAATATTTAATAAAGATGACCGTGGATGATATGTTGAGGTATCTATGATCGAAAGGAGTTTATATTATTTATCGATGGTTTTTTTGATCAGCAAGCCATATCATCGTTATTTTTTCACCAAATCTCAAGATTGAGCTACCAATTTCGAAAGCTTCCTTCTCCTTCAGAAGGGTAAAATAGTCCAATCACCCAGAAAATTCAGGCAAATAAGTTATGAAAGAAAACAAACTTTATTTGCGGATAACTGAAAAATTACACACTTTTCCCTTGGTTATGCCCATGATTATATAAAAGATTAACTAATTCCCTACAAAACGAGAAAAAAAAATCATCGAAATCGGACAATTTTTAGCAAAGATACAGCTCACTGAAATTTATAAAAACATGTTGGTTCCAAACAAAGATTTAAATTAATTTTTGTTTCCTTTGTCGATTATATTTATCTATAAAGTAACATTTGATTTCTATATCTTTTGATATGTTGCATTATTTTCTTTTCTTATTAATTTGGCATTTGATAACAATATGCTATGCGAATTTTTCGCACAGGCCTAATAGTAATATCCATTTGAACAGATGACAACATTAACAAAGAATAAACAATGGAGTAACTCACAGTTAATGGAAGGATATAAGAAAAGAAGGGACTTTCCATGTCGACAACGTGGGACACAAGTACCAACAAAAGTTGCCAATGCGAGAACAAAAGTTGCAAACTTTTTTAAATCTAAAAAAGCCAGATTTTTTTTATCTTTTTTCATCTATTACTCCGAAACGGTGCACCAAAGTGAAAAATGCAATCTAATAAATTAAATAACGTTAAATTGTGCAATGAATGAGTACCTAAACTTAATAATTTGGTTAAGTGGTGTGGTAGAAAACACGGTCAACGAATATTTTTATAAATTTGTTAAAAACTGAGACAAATTATTATAAATGGCTCTGTGACTTGGAAATGACTCCTCTAAGACAAGAATTATTAGAATTCAAGTTGTAGAGCATCAAATTATGCATCTACTGAGTATGAAAAATTTTAATGTTGGCAATTCATTTATATCTCTTGATAAATTCAATTATTTCTTCTGTCTTCTGGTAGAAAAGAGGCTGATACTTGATATAGCAGACTAATAAGAATAATTCAGTAGAATAGACACCCCTACTGTTGAAATATTGAAAATTACACTTATGTTTGTTACTAATTTCCAGCCATCTGGAGATTACCGATTTTGAGCGGTTTTGATTTACATTAAAACTAATTTTCATTTAAACTGTTGGTACTCAGTGGACGCAGAATTTGTTGTTCTACAACTTTTATTTTGTGTGTTTTTCTCGTAGAGAACTCATTTCCAAGCTTCCATGACCATTTATAATGATTTGTCACAAAGTTGGTAAAAATTAGTATTTGTTGACCGTGGTTTTCTACTTAATAAAATTATTAAGTTTGTGTTCTCATTTGATGCTCAATTTAACATTCTTTAATTTATAAAAGAGTATGTTTTCTCTGCTTCAATGCACCTTTCACAAATTATAGGAGATAAAAGATCGAAATTGTTTGTGTGAACAGTCTAGCTGAAAACGAAACTGAAAATACATATTTAAGTTAAATATATGCTTGGGATGTTACAGCAACTTTTTCCTTAAAATCGACTAACCGGAAGTGTCACTATATAATTGATTTTACAATTTTCTCAAAAACGGCTCTAGCGATTTTGATTACATTCAGTGTATCAATATATAATTAAGTGAACTTTAATATCATACAGGTCTTGTGTCTATCAATGTCGTTTAACAGGGCTTAAATTAAATGATTAATGTTCAAAATTTCTTCCTATAAAGCACCTTTAAATTGGTCTATTTTAAATAATTAACTATCTGTTATTGTTAGCAGTTATGAAAAAAGGCCAAATATAACTTTTGAAAGAATTTTATGGTTGAATAAAGGAAAAATATTTATTTACATCAAAAATGAATCTTCTGAAATAATAGTCAGAAGATATACATATAATATATTGTTGGAAAGTTAAGGATTTTAGAAGAAATAATATTTAATATAGAAAGACATGGAAGGTAATGGAGAGTGACCAAAAAACAATAAATAATAATTTCTGAAAACTAATATTATTTAACGAAAATCACGTTATTACGTTATCACGTTACTCTAGATCCGATATTATATTTAAGTAATTAGATATTTATCATCCGTCCATTAAAAAAATCATCATGTAACCTTTTAGATAAGTGAATAATTTTATGAATTTTCTCTTTATAAAATCCCATCATACCCTTACAATTACAGTGACAGCTTTTGGCCTATCTATGGCAGGCAATGAAAATCCCGTGACTCCATTTTAGTAAACTTACTAGTTTTACAATCCATAATAATTTATAGGTTAAATATACAGTTGTACTTTCAAAGCTCTCTAGGCATATATATCTCAAAGACTGGAGTTATGATTTATAAAAAAAAAAGTGGAGTTACAAGGTTTTTTTACAATGGAGTTTTGCGGACAATATATAATGCGGAAATATGGTTTTTGTTATTTAAATGGTCTTAATGATTTGCTAGCTATAAAGTTTTAGCTCTGTTAAAAAATGGACTTAAAAGTTTTTGTAATTGTCCACCATTGCCAGAAAATAATTTCTATTCAAATTAGAGTGGTAACTGAAAGTTGTGTGATGTGCGAAGCAAATTTTTTTTTCATTCAATACTCTCTGAATTTCAATTTTCGGCATATATGAATTTTTAAAGATATTTCTTGATTTTTAAATTAATTTTTGAGAAACCATAACTATTCTCATTCCTCTTCAGTTTTTAATTAATTCATCTTTATCATTATAAAATTATAAACAATTATTTGTAATGCACGTAATTTGTTTTTGTTTTTTTAGAAGTATGAAGAAGATTCAGAATCAGAAAATGGGAATGAAGAATGAATACATTTTGGGACAATACTTGCTGTGAAAGAAATAATTTTTAAATTATTATTAAAGCAGACATTTTAAATTTAGCTTAGAATGAATTATGCACCCACATTGTATATAGCATATCTAAAAGTTTTAAAATTGTTAACATTATTTAGACTTAGAATTTGATGTCCTTGAACTCTTTTCTACTCTAAGCCATTGTGTTTTTTTGTGTTATTTGCTTAAATGATATTTTAATATAATCTAGCAATAGAATAATCCATTTAAATTTTAATTGTACAATAATTCCAAATGTTATTTTAAAGAATAGCATAGCGTAACAAGTTTTAGTTTTGATACCAGAATTGATTATTTTTCATATGAAGACTGGACATCAAAAACAGGTACAGTGCCAAACCAAAAATTTAGTTAAAATGCGATAATTTTAGGCTAGTTAAATGTCATTTCCATCTAACAGCTTAAAAATTATGCTAAATGGCAAGAGTTAGTAATATTAATTGTCTCTAGTAATGATTGTGGCAATTAGGCTGTTGGCAATGAAATTTAGCTTTCCTTGTGTTATCTAACTAAATTTTTTTTTTTATTGACTAGCGCATTACTGATTCCAGTCTTCATTTCAGTTTTGGAAACATGTATAGTATGCACTTTAAGAAATATTTTATTTATACTTTATTTTATTTGTGTATATTTAAATATAAGTTGGATCATAGATACATGAATAATTAATATACAAATGTTATCACAATTGACCGTTTTAACATTATATTTGCTTGACTATTTACCACCCCACTGATTAATCCATAGATTAAAGCATAGACCTACGTTGACAGTTAGATCTGCTTAGCAAGTCCTGTAAGTCAAATAGAAGCGTGTGTCTTCATTTATCAGAGGTAGTAGACTGTTGCATACATGGTAAAAAGAAAAATATTGTGATAGAAAGTAGTGCATTCATACATTAACCAGAAAAATAAGGAATTATTTCCTGAAAAATCCTCTCACATTCTTATTGAGGTGCTATTAATGATACTTGTTGAAAAGTTTTTTTTTTTTTTTCCATTCTTTTAAAAATAATTTCAGCATAAATTTTCATAAAGATTACCTAAAAGGGCACCAGCCATTGACAGACTAATTACACGGATCTATAAAAATCGGATATTTGAATAACGACTGCCGTTCTAAGTAATGTGTTCTATTCCTACTGCCAACTATCGGATTTGAAGAAAAAGGAGCTTGTTTAATTTTAGTTAGTCCAACTTTTTGTAGGTTGCAAGGTGTGAAAATATGAAACCGAAATTCGTCCATAGATAGCTCTAGTTGTTTATATAGTAACCATTAAACCACATTATTGGTACTATTTTGTTTCTTCATCGGCTGGAAAAGATTTTCAACTCACAATAATACAAATTTCATACAACAGCATTGGTATGCTTATCATGCCAAGTTTTGTTATTAAGATTTACAGACAGCATTAACTTTTATTTAAAAAATTAATGCTGTTTACTTAAAAATTAATTTTATGTTAGCATTTAATTTAAAAAAAAACTGCAGTAGAATCGCATCAAATGCTTTTCGAAGCTTATGGTGAGCATGCTCTTGGTAAATCGCATGGCTTTAAGTGGCTTAAAATATTCAAAAGTGACTATTTCAACATGGGAAATGAAGAACCTTAAATATCTCCGAAAAATGTACAGACAATAAGTTCATTCCAGAGTAGGTGATTGCTGTCTTGAAGTATAGAACTGTGAATAAAAGTATAAGTTTTCCTATTAGAAATATCACTAAAATGAATATTCAAAAATGTTGAAATTGAAGTTAGTCATTCCCTCAACTGAAAGGCTCATCTATTGGAAAATTGCATTATTTAGTTATTCCAAGTGGTTTGGTTGGTACAGGTATTATATTGTTTTTAATGTAAGGAAATGAATAAATAATATTTGTAAAAATCAATCTGTATTAAAAAATAAAAATACATTTTAAGGCAGTAGATACCTATTATCTACTATTTCAATTCAGAACAAAATTTACCTCAAAACAAAATTAGATATTTATTGAGGTAGAAATATACAGTATATTAGCAATAAAAATTGCTATTAAATTACTTTCCAAGAGTAATTAAGTTTTAACTTAATCAATTACAATTAGAAAACAAAAAATATATTATTTTTGAAGTTCTTAAGAATCTTTTTTAAAGGTTAAAATTAAATAAGACGTACATTCTTCATGCAGCCAGTCAGTCAATTTAGCTTTCTTACTAGGAGATGGTTCTGAAGCTGAAATAAGTCATAAGAGGGAAAATAATTAACTGCATGTAATATTATGCATCAAGACATGTAATATTTTTGGAAAATAAATCTTACGTTTTTTTCTAATTACTGCAAACTCGCCATAACTCCAGAATCCATAAACAGGCACATTAGGAAAACATTTTGAAAAAATTAATGTTTCCTTATCTTTCAACATCTTGATTCTGTTGATACAAGAAAACATGAATGCTATTCGAACACTCCCTTCAGGTAGAGGTCCCACTTCTTTCGAAAACTACATGGAAAATAATTTTTATAATGCAAAAACTGTAATAAAATAAAATTATAATACATATAAGCCAAATCACTAAAATACATAGATATAGTTTTTGAAAAAAATATTTTAATGTTTTATTTTTATATTAACAGGCTGATTTAACAATCTTTCATTAATATTTTGTGTAATGTTAATTAGAGAACAGTTGAACATCGTTTATCCATCCTGGGCAGGACAAAACAAACAAAAAATAATTCTGGAGTTCATAAAAAAATTTAGTATATTATATAAAATTAAAATATGGGTCATGAAAGTATTAATATATTGTATGTTTCAAAATGAAATAGTGCAACTGACAAATTTCAGCGTTCAACAGATAAATAAAAAACATTTAAAACATTAAATTTTCAGCATATTGAGATATATTACTTTTTTATCAGTAAGTACCAGCAAATATAAATACATATGCTACCATGTGTAAAATATTAAAAATTGTAACTAAAATAAATTAAGCACATCAAAATATTTTGTATTTGCATATTTTCACATTGAGACTGACAATATGAAAAGGTTAAGGCTCTGCCAAGGTAAGGTAGGCAAAAGTACTTCAGAAAGATAAATAGCTGGTATCTTGAATGTAAAAACGTCCTAAAAAGAAATTCTTATTATCTAAGTTAAAATCTCGTGTCCTTCTATGCCACATAAAGCATAAATTATAAACACTATGTTAGACAATCTTCCAAAGTTACATTAAATCATGGACCTCGTAGACAATGAACAGTAATTTTGAGTCGTGCTCCATCATTCAGAACATGCCGAAAATATTTTAAAACTTGCACAGAAATTTGGGGGAAAAACAAAGATAGCTCTACAGCGTATTGAGCAGAAAACAACCAAAATTATATAGTATCTTCACCTAAGCCATATTGACGCACTGATTTTGTTTTTTAGGTTAACGATATGGTGGCATAAATTGGAATTTTTATTAAAAAATTTTATTGCTTGTTGGTTAAATGGTTTAATTAGTCCTGGAAACAAAGTAAAAATGACATCTTTGCTTCATTTCCTGGGCTACTTTCATTAATAGGAAAGAGTACCAATGTTTGAATTTTTGAAGTATGGAACATTTTCTATATTAATACCGTTGATACGTGATTTTAAAGAATTAAAATTTAATAAGAGGGGATGTTATAATTATTAATTTTTAGGATGTTTCTTGACTGCTCAAGGATACCCTATTATTAATTAGTAAACAATTGAAATCAAAAAATAAATATTAGTCTTAATAAACTTACTGCTTCCATGAAGTTTTGAAGATTTCTTGAAAGCTGGTGAAGGCCAAGATGAGCTGTAAGATTTTCTCCATGAAAGGTAATGCCTAATACAGCATATTTAGTAACACAACTTGGTAAAAGTGGATGTGATCTCACAGCTCTCTGAGCAATACCTCCTGCCATAAGAAGAGAACCATCTCTGACAGATAAAAGAAAAAAAAAGTAACATTAAAAACAGTGGAGGTGGAAGAAAACTGACTTCATCTGTTAAAGATATATGCAATTTAGAGAACATGTTTATAAGCAAAAATCAGACGGAACAAAAAAATTCTTAAGATAGCAATAAGCTTTTACGATTTTCATTATTTCTTAAATATATAATATAAGAGTACACTAGGAAACTTCTTAAATCCTATTTTTTGTGAATGTCAGATTTCCACCATTGCTTATGTTAACAAAACAAAGGTAAGTTGAGAAATACCAACTTGTTAAATATACTGGTAACATTATGGGCCAAGTTTATACAAGGTACATCTCCACCAGCGATTAATATTAAGCATTTAGTGTCAGATAACCTCTAAAATTATAAAACATTGAAAAAATTATAAACATATACAAAAAACATTTACATTACTAGTAAAATTTGGAACATACATCTAGTGTTTCTGTTTCTTGGGAAGAAAGAGGTCCCCTAAAATAAAAACTATTAATAACTACTCCAGGCATATCACAAAGAAAGAGAGCCGTTTCAGCATTTTTGCCTAAAGAAAAAAAGATTCTCAAAAAATAATTCTCATTAATAAATACAATAAAAGTTAAAATAATATTTACCTAATTTGGGCTTAATAGCTAGCTTTCCACCTGCATATTCAGAAGCTATGAAGTAATTGTTTCTGATATTGAAAACAGATATGTCTTTTACATCATACAATTCCGATAATTTTGGGAAAAAGTCTGTTAGAAGAAAAAAAAATTCTCACTTTTAAATCCATATATGAAACTCATAATAAACTGAGCAATACTCTCAAATAACAGCTCTTGAACCAAAACACACCAAAATAGACAAATCAGCAATCACTATGGGTGCTGGTTACTTATGATGTATTTTGGTATCTCAACAATTAAGCCGCCTTGTTATCATAAGAAAATTCCCAACTTTAACCCTACAACAGGAAAATAATTTTCTGGCAATATTATTTGCCAATATCTGCAAATTCTTAAAAATAAAATAAACAACATCAACAACTAGATAAGATCCCTCTTGGAAGTTATTTAGCTTGAGCAAGCAAACACCTCCTTATAACACCAAATTATGATCAACATAAAATATTATTTACAGCCAAAACCATAAATCGTCAAATATAAGTAGATTACAGCACTCGGTAAAAGTTCAGAATTGTTATTCCAATATGGTAGCTATGCACAAGATTATAGAAGACACTGAATTCCAATCATGTCCAAAATTATACAGACGGAGTCAAGCTCAAGACTTTTTCATTCTTGTCGATAATGCATATTTAATATTTGATTAATTGAATTACTCATATTGAGAATTTTATTCCCCTTTATTATTACTACTTTAATATGATCAATGTGTATAAGTCTTACCTTATGCGGAAGATCGTCCGTCATTATTATATTTATATATTTTATAAATCAACATTACATAACATAAATTAATTTAATGTCTAAAGCCTAGTCCACACTAGCAGACATATTGCGCGATTTTGGTTTCCGAGACGTGTATCAGGTCTATGTCTATGTAGACATGTCTATAGACCAATTGCCCTCTACAGGACTGTTGCGAGACCAAAAATCGCTGGTCTCCAAACTACAACCAGCAAAAGTTTCTCAGTTTGCATAGTAAAAATTCAAAACATAATTTTAAAATATGAAATTAGTGAATCAAACACAAGTACACTGCAACTTCTATTGCATGAGTTATTTCTCTTAGAAAGCTCAATTTATAACTAGAGTGCCATTTATCGATTTTTTATTTATTTTTCATAACAATCCGTGGCCTGCGGGACCTATTGCTGGTGTCAAAGGGGGCCGCATGGCTCAATGTGGCCTGTGGGCCAAAAAGTTTGGAGACCCCTGGTCTAAAGTCTCCCGATTGGAATGGGAGACCGCATGCAACATTTGACATGTTGGACAACATTATTACAATATCGGCACCTAGAGAAGAGACAGGTACCAGTCTCCAGCCACTGAGTGATGCGGTTCGGCTGTTTATCCCTCCAACCATCAAAAACAAATCTTCAAAATCAAATGGCGTCAGCCAGGTGAAATTCCGAATTCCCATGGTGTCTTCCAATGTTGATTTATTTAATGATGCATTACCGAACCTAGGTCCTTCTGCGAGCACTTTTCACCAATGTTTAGGTTTTTGCATTCTTTCACTTGTAATTAGCACTAAGCAGGAACTTATTCCCCACAAAACAATGTCCTCCATGGTGGATTGCGAAGATGAGACAGATAAATTCACATTGTAGTGTGGACCCTAGACAGAATGGTGTCTCTAGACAGTCTCTTGACATGTCTTATCCATATTTTTATGAATATATTCTGTCCTATTTATTTGAAATTCATTTATTTGAAAATAAACTTTTTCACAATCACAACAATTATTATATTAAGGATGAGGTAAAATATTAAACTATCGTACACAAATTAATAGTAATACAAGTGAGATAATGAGCAATCAAAATATTACGCAATGACAATCATATATATTACCATTATTAGTGGTTTTTAAATTAGTAGAACTTTAATTAGATTATGACTATTGAACTTCTACTAGTTCTAGGGATGAAAAAAAAATCACGCAGGTCCTATTCAGTTATCGTTTGAGAATTTACAAAAAATGGGTTCTTGTTAATAGAGGTCCACTAATTAAATCTAATGAAAACAATCTATCTTCACTAACTAGAACCCTTGTTAAATCCTGACAAACTCGAGTTGTGAAGGCTTGGCTTGGCACCCATTGGACCTCATTGGACCATTGAGCTCGAGCTGAAAGCTCATAAGGTTCAAGCCTTAATGAATTTATCCTTTAAAAAAACTTAAATTATTATACAGTTTCGGTACTACTTCACTAGCAGGCCGGGTCGAAACCTCACTTCTTATCTATGTTATCTAACATCACATCAAATAACCTCCCTCTTCTTATCCCACCAAACCTTTCAGTTATTACATTGTTTATTTTTCAGTTATTACATTGCTTATTTTTCAGTTATTACGTTCACTTATTAAATTCTTTATTTTTGGCCCGTTTCTGTTTATTTTTTCATTTTTTTTATAGTTTATTTTTGTCAATGTTCTTGAAGTGTTTTTTTATTATTTCATTTTGATCTTTTATATATTATACGGTTATGTGGCTCAGCTATGTGGAAAAATAAAATACATAGAGGAACTGCCAGACAACATCTCGATTCATATTTATGCGAATTTTTGTGGCGGTGGGTTCACAAAGAAGATGAGGTAAAATATTAAACTATCGTACACAAATTAATAGTACTACAAGTGAGATAAAGATACGGTCCCGTTCCTCGCTATTTTAAATAGCATAAAACTATTTTGCGTACCAAAATAAATAAGAAGAAGTGAAAATAAATTGTACATATGTCGTTATAGTGTTGATAGTTTTTCTTTTATATGTACATATGTTCTTTAAGTGTTTTTTTATTATTTCATTAATATATGTCATAAAATAAAAGTATTTTTTTTGTTATTACAGTTGTTTTTGTTTCTGTTTACACTTTCAATAATACGAATATAATACAATAATACAAAGATAGGAATTAGGAGAAGGCTTATCACTGCCTTATCGGAATTATCAGTGTTCAGGTTATAAACATTGGCAGATAGCAGTCAGTTCGAGCCTGCTAGTGGAGAAGTACCACATATTCGTAAAGAATTATAAATTTTTTTCAGTTGGTAATAACAATGTGAATATTTTTCCAAAATAGAATGTGAATATATTATTTTTCTGTTAGTGCTAACAAAGTGAATATATTTTCAAAATATAATGTGAATAAATAGAAAGGAAAAAATGAGTAAGGCTCGAGTCTTTTACCACCGAGCTCTTAGGACTCGAACTTTGGCTGACTTGAGAAAGCTCGGGCCTTTTGGGCTCAAGCCTCATAGCCTTTTGACCGACCTCTTTTACAGCACTACTGTAGAAGTTAGATGACAGCTATGATCAAATTAAAACAGGAATAATTAAGGAAATAAACAGTAATAATTGCAATTATTAAGGTGAGTACTGTAACATAACCTAGGCTTAGATGAGGATAGGTATGTGACTGCGTGTAGACATGATTGTCAATATTCGGCTACTTCCCACTATTCCTTGCGATTATATCTACCTGTGATCGATGATATCTTGTGCCCAGCCACCACATTGGAACAAGTATCTAGAAGTCAAGTTCCCCATGCTCGAAAAATTATAAGAAACCATCAAGGAGAGCTTAATATGTGGAGGTCAGATTAAAAAAAAATTACATTATTACTAAGAACATATTCTTATGTAAAAAGCTCCATCATAATTATAAGAACAATATACAGAAGTTTAAAAGAGATATATCACAAAACTGACATAAATAGATAGCAATGTAATAGAAAAGAATGAATTATACACAAAAGGCAAATATTCAGAAAATATGACAGAAAGGCAGTGGAAAATAAGAAAGTTGACCTGAGAAATATTCCAAGTAGAAAACAGTCCAAGCCCAGCACTTGTATCAATTACTGAGTTTAGGTGTATTATGGCTAAAAAATGATATTTAAAGTATTATACTTTACTCAAGTAGAAAATAAATAAACATTTATCTATTTGCAATGATCTTAACATCTCGTAATGTTGATGAAAAATGTTTCAGATATAGTTTCAGCTTACCTGAGCCCAAGTTTTTCCTACCATAAGAACAAGAAAAATGAAGAACAACTTTTGGATGAAGCTTGCTATGAAACGTGCCCCATCCTGAAACCAGATCTTTAGAATAACTAACTGGTTTGTTATTTTTCATGATGATCCTGTTTGCAACTTCTTTCCATTCTCTAAGATTTATCAACATTACAAGTAATTCATAAGCACCTCAAGTTTAATTTTAATTGATAATATACATCTCTTACCTGCATACATCACTTGCATTCAATAGATCTTTGGATGCTAAATATGAAAATATTTGTTTCAAAATCCCATATTCATTGGTGATGTAAATCCCAAGTTCAGACTAAAATGTTCACAAGACAAGAAAATGATTTTAGAAACTTTTATGGCATAGAAAATAAAACAATATATTAATTTAATTTAAAATCTTACCATAATGTACCAAATAAATTCATATCAACATAAATATCAGCAATGGAAGGTTACCCTATAATGTAAACTCCCCATCACAACAATTCAGTTCAACTCTTTTATTTATATTACTTATTGTATTATAAATCAAAGATTGTTATTTTAAAACTGGTAGAAAACAGTAAAAAATAACCACCTTATGGAAGGAATTGAATTTATTTTTTTAAAAATCTTTTTATATCTGTTTTTTTTAAATACTCAGTTTTTTTTTTATAAATATCTGTGAGTTGTTTATTTTACAAGATTCCAAAAAAAAAAAAGTTAAAATAATGGTAACTTTTGTTAAAATAATGTGTCGCAATATTCCATGAATATTAGTCAATAGGTTTCATTGCTGTTACCAAATGTTCTCTAGTTCTTGATAGTGCAATATTTCTGTCACCTATTTCGCTAGGTGATATTACTTGTGAATGTAAGAGTTAAACAGTATGGGTTGTTTTAGTTTAGTTACCTTCTTTACATGATAATATATTCACAAGATATTAAGGATTTTTTAAAGCGATTTTGTTTTCGAATATTGTAAAGCTTACTAGTCAACATGTCTGGAGATCGTAACAATAAAGCTAGAAATGAGTGTGTTCAAGTAGTTGTGAGATGTAGACCTATGAATGAAAAAGAATTACTTCAAGGGCATGAAAATGTTGTTGAAGTTTATCCTACTAGGGGTGTTGTTGAAGTATTTAATCCAAAGGAGGATGACAGAAACAATGGAAAGATGTTTACCTATGATGCTGTTTATGATCAAACTTCTAGCCAGCAAGATATTTATGATGAGTCAGTATATCCTCTAGTCAATTCAGTTCTCGAAGGTTTTAATGGTACCATTTTTGCCTATGGCCAGACAGGAACTGGTAAAACATTCACCATGGAAGGTAATAAATATCAAGGATATGATTCAAGAGGAATCATTCCTCGCTCTTTTGAGCAAATTTTCACCCATATATCACGTACAGACAATATGCAGTATCTAGTGAGAGCTTCATATCTTGAAATTTACCAAGAAGAAATTAGAGATCTGCTGGATACCAATCCAAAAAAAAGATATGAACTTCGTGAAAATGCTGATACTGGAGTGTATGTAAAAGATTTGCAGTCATTTGTTTGTAAAAGTGTGAATGAAATTGAACATGTAATGTCAGTAGGTAATCAAAATCGTACAATCGGTGCAACAAACATGAATGAACACAGTAGTCGGTCTCATGCAATATTTATTGTCACTATTGAAATGAGTGATACTAGCACAGAATTGAAAAATCAGGTTAGGGTTGGCAAGTTAAATTTAGTTGATTTAGCTGGAAGTGAGAGACAGTCAAAAACTGGATCTACAGGCACCAGATTAAAAGAAGCTAGCAAAATTAATTTGTCTCTTTCAGCATTAGGTAATGTGATTTCAGCCCTTGTTGATGGAAGGGGACAGCATATACCTTATCGAGACTCGAAGCTAACTAGATTGCTTCAGGATTCTTTAGGTGGAAATTCCAAAACATTAATGGTTGCAAATATTGGACCTGCAAGTTATAACTATGAAGAAAGTTTAACCACTCTAAGGTATGCTAATAGAGCTAAAAATATTAAAAATAAACCCCGTATCAATGAAGATCCTAAGGATGCTTTGTTAAGGCAGTATCAAGAAGAGATAATTCGTCTAAAGCAACTTCTACTAATGTCTGTTGGGACTGGAGACCCTGGTATTAAGAAAAAAAAGAAAAAAAAAGAAGGCCTTGAAACTAATCAAGATGAAAAGTCTCATGAACAAATGCTTTTGGAAGAAGAAGAAAGTTTGAACACTAGAGAAAAGAAACTTTTAAGCAATGACAGTGAAATGCCAGAAAATGAACGATTAGAATTATTACATGAAATAGAAAAAAGGAAAGCAGAAATATCTACTGAAAAGAAATATGCTGAAGAACTTCATAATCGGATTAATGCAATGGAAAGCAAATTACTTAGAGGAGGAAAAAATATTATAGATCACACTAATGAACAACAAAAAGCTCTGGAACAAAGGAAATTAGAAATAAATGAAAGAAAGCGTCGAGAAGTTCAAATAAAACAAATGCTTGAAATGAAAGAAGAAACAATGGAGGAAATTAGAGAAACTTATGCTACTTTGCAACAAGAAGTTGAAGCAAAAAACAATAAAGTCAGAAAATTATACCAAAAATTACAGAGTACGAGACAAGAAATAGGTGACATTACTGATTCATTTAATGAAGATAGACGGGAATTAGAGAGTACACACAATGAACTACTTAAAGACTATAAATTAAGGTTGTTAATAATTGATAATTTTATACCACCCCAAGAGAAGAAAAGGATTTCTTCAAGATTGTTTTATGATGATGAGGATGATGTTTGGAGAATGATGCCTGAATCTGAGCCATTAAAAGTACTAGAGCGTCCAGTTTCCAGTCCATCAGAACGTAGACCAATTTCTGAGTATGCAAAGAATGCTAGAGATATTAGTAATAATTACCGCTTCAAGGGGGAAAACATTATTGAATTAAAGTTAGAGCCGCAAGAAACAATGACTAAGGACTATCAGGGCCCAGCTGTAGCACCTTCTGTTTTATCTGCACTTGAAGCAGCTTTAAAAGGGGAAGAAGACATTGATGTAGATGCATCACTTGCAGTTAGCAAAACAAAACGTAAACCTTTTGTTGTAAGAAACCCATCGAAACCAATGTATCCGAAATCTAGAGGTCTAGTCCCTAAATAAATGTAATTTTAACTTATGAAAGTCTTTGACTTTTATGATCTCGTACTTTCAAAGTCAGTATTATTTAATTACATTCCTTTGATTTTAAAAGTAATGTATTTCATATGTACATTCTATGTATACTTTCAGGTGAGGAGTTCTTGGAAGGAGTATTATCCTTTGATCATTTCTAGTCACATACCTATTTTTACCACAACTTTAAGAGCTGTAATAAACGTACCAAAAGCACACTACCTATTATACTTTAATATTATTATCAACTAGTGTATAATATTATCATTCCTAGAGTTATTGACTGTTGTATTTAAATTAAAAGTTTTTGTTATTTATTGTTTATTTATTTATTACTATTAAAAAAAAAAAAAAAAATCAGTGTTCTTACAAGCAAAGTTATTTATTTTTGTTACCAACTTTTGTATTGAATTGATTTTGTTAATTTAATAAACTTGTTCTTTGTAACCTGTTTTTGCTGAAATTTAAACTATTTTATTTAATTATACCAGTGCTTAATGTCATTCAATACTTATGAAAAAAATGACTAAAAATAAATTTTTACAATTTTTTTCATCATATTTATGAGACTAATAGCCTTCACTGCAATTTGATATGTATATTTTTAAATTAATTAAAATATTTTTTTTAATCCAATTTTCCTGATAACATAAACTATAAATTATTTTTACCTCATTCTGAGTTTCTAAATTTAGTACATAAGTCACTTGTACTATGGAAATTGATGTCAAAGAATATATTTGTTAAGTCAGCGTTAATGTGCTCCATCATTGTACCTGAACCAGTGACTCTATTCTTCATAAGCAGGCAGCTCTATTCTTCATAAGTACATAAGTCACTTGTACTATGGAAATTGATGTCAAAGAATATATTTGTTAAGTCAGCGTTAATGTGCTCCATCATTGTACCTGAACCAGTGACTTTATTCTTCATAAGCAGGCATAAGCCACTACCTACAGCTTTAATTTTTTTTTGTGTGTGTTGATCCATTGGGGCATATTGGTCCTAGCCAATAAGAATGACACTGAATGTGTAAAAAAAATAATCCTCCAGAGGGAGTGGTATCAAAATTCCTTATGAATTTGTTTGATTTTTTTTTTTTTTATTAGATAAAATATTAATAGAACATCTTCATGAAAACATAATAAATATATTTATATACAACCGTTTACTAAAAAAAGGTATAAATGGTATATTGTAATGGACAACAATGTGACAAAATTGTATATTTTGATGGTGAAACTAATGCATCAAATGCAAAGTTTTTAAATAAATAAATGCAAAAATTATCTAAAACTTCAACTTCTGTTGTCATTACACACCTAGTTGATATTTTGCTGCCTTAATTGGCCTGCTTCTCTACCTTGTCCAGTCAATAAAGGGGTTATAGAGGGTTTGAGCTGGGACCTAAGTGATTATTTCAGAAAATTGTTCAGGGTGTTATTTTCACTTAAATCTCAAAAACAGAGCATCACAGGGGAAATTTTTCAGATAGTCAATTAAAGTTTATAAAATTATCTAAAACTTTTATTGTATAAGCTTAACCCTAATTCTAAACAGTTTTCGATCTACACACAGAAAAATGACATTTTCGAAAAAAATCATTTTGCCTCACATTTTTCATCAAACATTTCTTCATATCATCTAAGATATTCATCAGAGAAAGAAGTTGTAGAGACTTTAATTCCTTGTTACAATATATGTATATATATATATATATATATATATATATATATATATATATATATATATATATATAGAGAGAGAGAGAGAGAGAGGTGGCAATACAGACCATTATGAGATCTTTTTCCGGGAGATGTGGTCTTCCTAGACCACCTCTCGATGACCGATTTAAGTACACAGGGCCATCAGTCCTACGCCCTGTTGGTGTGAGTTACCTCCAGTAGGCTGACGGGCCTGTGAGGCCGTATATGTGATACCCGGGGTGAGGAGTCTCGGGCTGCGTGGCTTTCCCTGGTGGGCGGTCACTCATCCAAGTGCTAACCATGCTCAGCGTTGCTTAACTTTGATAACCTATTGCAAGCACCTTAGCACGCACGGCTACTCCAGACCCATAATCAATATATATATATATATATATATATATAATTAATTAATTACTTTTCATATATATATATATATATATATATATATATATATATATATATATATATATATATATATATATGAAAATTAAGGTAAAGCCAATGGTTCCACAAAAAAATTGAACACACAGTTCCAAAATGGCGTCCAACATGACTGATTGACCACTTTGACTTAAGTTAGTTTTTCATTCACTGAGATTCAGCATTTGGTTTAATTTTGTCATAATTGGCCTTTTATTAAAGGTGGATAGTTAAAGAATAATAAACATGAACAAATATTTAAAAGAAATTGTTTTAGGCCACAAAAACATTGGTAAAGCAAATTTATTCAAATCGCTCAAACTAATGTTGAAAATCAAGCGTCGTTTGCAAATAAACGGCCTCAATAACGAAAAATGTTCCTAAATAAAACATCTGTACAATACATTTATCTTTCTAAATCAGTGGTTAAATTTGAAATATTTGAAACAGTCCTTTAAAATGCACATAACCGGCAGGAAAAGCGCTGCTTCTGTAAGCGCCTACTGTTTTCTTCCTCAGTACCCATAAATGGCATAGTTATATGAGAATGACGTTTTTGGTATAACTTTTGTTCGTTTGTCTAACAATTATTAGACTATATGTAGCATAAATACATGTAATAAATAAATTATTATAATATATGTAGCCACACTTTAAATTCAAATATTTCAATAATCCTTTATATGTTGTTGTTTAGTGTCCTGGTTTCGCAGTCATTTATCAGAAATGGCTTTATTATACACCCTGGCTTTATTGAATACCCATAATTTGAGATTTTTCGGGATTTTAATACCTTTGAAAGAGAGAGAAAAAAAATCTGCACTTGTTATAACCTGGTCTTCATCAAACCGTTGGTAATTCTTTGAGTTTATTGTGGAGTAGAAATATTTTACTTTGTCTACTCTCGGGAACGATTATCTTTCCAAGTAAATTGTATTATTAGAATGGAATTTTCGGGTAATTGTCATATATTTTGTTTGATTATCATTCCCTTGTTGGCCGAATTGTTCTACCTCTATTATCAGAGTCTCTGGATGTCCTCTTAATTGCTTCTAAGAGGAGCTATAATATCATCTGCATACCCGATATATCTGAAGCTAGTACGAACTTCAAAGGATTCAGATAATTCTTCCTGTATTAGGACTTCACTCAGTGCCGCTCTTAGGGCGGGGCAATCGACTAGAGGCACCCGTTGGAGATCCTCAGGGGCTCTTGCCAATTGTTACAAATTAATAAAAAAATACAAAATATTGAATGAAATAAAATTCAAATATTGCATAATTTAAAATAGTTTAAGTAATAAATTTAATATTTTTAGGAGCGGATGACGTCATTGCCGAAGGGTGCCGATGGCTTAGGCCAGCACAGACTTCTCCCTTAGGGTCATTTGTCATTTCTAGTTTAGTCATGATTTTTGAAAGACAGATCCTATTCAGGGAATCCTCAGCTGCTATTTATTTAATTTATAAATGTTTTGGACTCTTCAACCATCTGGGTCATTTTCGCCCTATATTACAATTTGATCAATTACTACACACAAACAAAACTACAGCTGACAGCTACAATTTAAAGTTTAGAATAGCTATAGATGAATATGATAGTACAATTGAATTAAAGTTATAAAAATTGAAACTTAAAGAATTAAAAGGAGATAAGTTAACAAAGACAATTAAAATAAAGGTTAATGATTTTAAGAACAAAAGCTAAAAAGACTTTTTTTTTTAAATAAAAATTAATATTAATAGAAAAAAAATTAAAAAGTACAATTTAAATATTAAAAATTACAAGAAGAAAAATTTAAAAACCATTATAATTAAAAATTAAGATTAAAAGAAGAAAAATTAATAGATATATTTACAATTTGAAGAGAAACCTACAAACTTAAAAAAACTTAACAGCTATATTTACAATTACAAGCTGTGATTAAATTTTGTGAAGTATTTTAATTTCCTTAAGGAACAATATTAAATTTTTAATAGCATTGGGGTCCTTTTGGAGAGATTATTCAAGGCTATTTCTGAATAGATGTTGATCCCTATAAGATAGGAATGCATAAAATTCGGTTAGGATACGGTTCACGGTGAAAGGTATCCCTCAGAAAATACATTGAGTAGGAGAGTCTTTCCTCATTAAATATTCGTGGGTAAGCCTAGTATGTCCGATCCTTAGCCGGGTCAGTACCACTTCTTCCCTTCTGGTCAGCGTGTTATTTGGTATGATTGTGCGGACGTTTGGCTCCACAACCCTTAGCTTATTGTCTATAGTGGGAGACCAAGTTCTTTGCCAAGCCAACCATGAAAATTTGAAAAGGTAACCATAAAAATGTTACCATACATCCAGCCATCTCCTATGTTTTAAGATTAGTTAGATTATCGACTAGAACCAGTTTTGAGAAAAAGGGTATTTATCGATATGAGGGCAGTTTTTGAATCTAAACAAATCACGACGCGGCTGGCTAGTTTAGCGTCAATGCATTTTACGGCGCGGTTTAGAGCAGATAGCTCAGCGGTGTGGATTTTACAAATCAGAGGAAGTTGGTACTGGTGCTGGCACTAGTACTGTAGGGAGATCTTAGTCCAGCAAGTGGGCTTATTGGTCCTTTTTGCCAACCCCAAAAATTTGATACTACCAGTGGCTGTCTATTGTACCTCTATTCTGTCTCAAACCTTTTTGTTCTTGAAGTTCAAAAGGTTGGACCATTTTATGTAGGCAGCTTTGCATACTTGGATTATGTCTGCTCCCAGAAATCTGTATCTGAGTGACGCAAATCGGTCACATTCAGTGATGAAGTGAAGGGCAGTTTCAGGTGCACTTCTGCAGATATTACAGAGTTCATCATCCACTATCCCACAGATCTTTAAGTGTCTTTCAAGTTTGAAGTGGCCTGTTAGTACTCCGATGATGAGTCGGATTTCTTTCCTAGTTAGGCCCAGCAGCCACTTGATTTTGGAGGGAGAAGGGATTTTAATAAATTGGTTCGCTTGTCTAAGCCCTGTGCATTCCCTCCATTCTTTACCTGCTTTTTTTCCAAAAGTCCAATCAAGGACTTCTTTCCACTGATGCTTTTTGGATTGCTTTTTTAAATTGAAGTTTATTTTAATTAGTCTATTCATCCCTTTTTTCCCAGTCCGCTGGTGTTCCTCAAGGTAGTATCCTAGGTCCTATCCCCTATACAGTTTATACAGCTGACATCCCAACCCATCCCAACACTGTCATCACCACATATGCCGATGACACATGTATCCTATCAGTAAACAATGACCCAGCAATTGCATCCCAAATGCTTCAATCACACATCATAAATCTAGAAGAATGGTGTCAAAACTGGAGAATTAAAATAAACTCCAATAAATCCCACCAAATTACCTTTACCCTTCGTCGTAAACCAACGACTTCCTGTCCTACAGTTTCCTTTAACAATACTCCACTTATCCCTGTTGAGCAAATCCGATACCTAGGACTCCACCTGGACAAACGACTAACTTGGAATCCTCATACTAGACTGAAACGACAAGAAACCGCTCGACGTTTCCGATTACTTCAGCACTTACTAGACAAACGCTCTAAACTTCCCATTAATTACAAAAGGCTCATATACTTGACTATAATAAGACCTATTTGGACTTACGGAGTTGAGCTATGGGGCTCCACTAAACCATCGAATTCCTCTCGCATCCAATCCTTACAATCCAAAATCCTTCGTAAAATCCTCAATGCTCCTTACTTTGTCACTAATAAAATTATCCATAAAGATCTTAATGTTCCTTATGTTTCAGATCTGGCCCAATCCAGATACCTATCCTTCCATAATAAACTTCAGAATCATCCCAACCCTCTCGTTTCTAACCTTGCTTCCTCTTCAATTCCTGATAACCCTCCGAGGCGTCTGAAAAGAAGATGGCCCCGTGATCTCCTAATGTAGTCATATCATTAGAGTGCTACCATTGGGTAGTTACTCAGCAAGTGTATTCATGTCATTATATCAATTATGTTCAAATTTACTTGATGTATTTATGTAATACAGTTGTAAATGTCATAAAGAAATAAAAAAAAAAAAAAAAAAATTTTAATTAGTCTGTAAATTAAAATGTGTTATTAAAGTCCATTCACTTCCAATCCGAACAGCTAACGCTAAAATTCAGTCTGATAGAGGAATTCAATCTACAAAGGGACTGGACCATCAGGAGCCTTGCATTTGATTGAAAATAAACTAAAAAATACATAAGGCGAGAATAATAATATATTTAATTCATAAATTACAGAGATCACAATGTACTATTTATTAATGAAGTCATCAATTTCTTGTTGATATTTAAACATATTATCTGCTGATGCTTTAAAGAGATGTTTTTCATGTTCATTCAGATCAGGAGGTAGAACTGTCGATATTCCACTGTTTCCCAACAAACAAGGTAATGAGAGAAAGACGTCTTCTTCAATTCCGTAGAAACCCTAAACAAAATTCAAGATTATATTTTATATTTATGTAACAGAGATATTTGTCTTTTAATATCTTTAATCATTCAAAAAAATATATATATATTGCATGAAGAACTATATAATATATAATAAGAACTATATGAGCCTTTTAGTTGAAAGAATGACTTAATTCCAATTTCAATATTTTTAAGTAATGCCATTTTAATGATATTTCTAGATGGAAATTTATAATATCTGTACAGACAGTGAGTAATTTGATTCCTGGGTAGGTGATTGCAGTGTTGAAATATAGAACTGTGAATAAATGTTAAATTTTCCCACTATAAATATCAACAAACTCAAGAATCAGAAATGTTGAAATTGGAGTTAGCCATTCTGTCAACTGAAAGGCTCATATGGTAGTGCTTAATGAACTAGGAATCTTGCCAATTGTTACAAAAGAATAATTTTAAAATTACTTTGACTAGTGTTGATACTGGAATGGCTTTAGATTTGTTGAATAATATTGATTCAACCTGGTCGGCCACAGCGAATCCAACTGCTGTTGACGTGTAACCTTTTAACCTCAGTAGTTCTGGTACGCTAAAAATATAAACAATAAAACAGAAGAACAATATTAATAGAAATTTAGTAAGAAATTAAGATTTTCCAAATATAAAGTTGTAATTATAGTCCTTGGTACGGACCTCTTTTTATCAAATCATTTACATCCTCCTGAAACTCCGTAAATAGCTTCATCTCATCGTGACCTAGAAATATTTTATTAGCCAAAATTCTCGGAATTGGGGAGTTTTCTATCTTGGGATTGGCAAAATTTGTCTATTTAATTACTAAAAACTCATGAACTCCCATTTGCTCTCCACTTAAATTGTAAGATAATATCAACAGAAAATAAAAAGAAAAGTCGGCCTACAAAAATATTAGACCGTTTCTCGATTTTGCCGCATTTTCCACACTCCTTTATTTTTCTGAAACGTTTTCGCGATTTATATCATAGACGCATACTTCGGTTTAGGCAATCGTTCTCCCTCCCCAATTAAAAATGTTGAGATGGTGAGAATATCGTTTCATCTCCCCAATATTTGAAGTAAAAAAAATTAAAAGAAATAATAAATAAGCTAGATAAATGAATAAAATGTGTAAACTAAAATTGATTAAGAAAAGTCGGCTAGGTTACTAGGTTAGGGTCTAGTAGCAAGTATGTAACTATTTTATTGATACCTAAATGTTTCTTCTATTTAAGTTGTCATTTATATTCATAGATAATAATTAATATGAAGATATTTTAGGATTTTACGATTCAATCACCACTCAATTTTCACGTGATATTTTTTGAGGTTACACACTAAGAAATATTTTTCACTTTTTTACATTATTCATTTTTTGCTGAAAACGTTTTAGAAATGACCAATGTTATGAAGGCTGTCTCCCCTCTCTCCTATATTTAATCTAATCAAATAAATTTTATAGAAATTTTCAAGTATATGTAATAAGTAAAACATAAAACACCCGACATTTTTTTTTTGTTCATTGCCTCCTCTCCCAATCAAAATCGAAAGCCCATGATTTATATCACTGTTTATTAATTTATTAATATTTTTATTTGTCTATTAATAAAAATTAAAAAACTTATTTTCAAGGACTTGATTAGAGCGAAGAGAAGAGCCCGTTAATTATGACAGTCTAACAGACTAACAATAGACGAGCTTTCAGCAGACTTAATAATGAACTCAAGAGACAGATTGTAACATTTACACGACTTTTGACAACTATCTTAAAAATCTTTCAACTGACGATGGAAGCTTGTGGAGACATACCAAAAAGCTTACTAAGCATGGTGAAGTGTCAACAACCTTCCAAAAAGAAGATGATTCAGCCGTGACCAACGGAGAAAAATTAGAACTCCTTGCTAAATATCTTTCATCGGTTATTATACCATCCATAGAATGCACTAATATTGAGCAAGAAAACAATGTACTAAACACTTTAGTCGTGCCCCTACAACCGACGTTACCTCCTCTTTCCTTCACTCATTCCCAGGTTGTTGAACAAATCAAACGTTGCCTAAAAGAAAGGCTCCTAGACATGAATTGACTAACGCAACAGTGCTTCAGTAAAATGCCAAGGAAAGCTTTAGTGGTTTTGAGAGCTATTTGTAATGCAATACAGAAGACAACTAAATTTCCTCTATAATGAAAATATTCATATATTACAATGATTCACAAAGCCAACAAAGACAAAAACTTACATTCATCACAGATACCGATCAATCAGCTTACTTCCTAACTGTTCAAATATTCTCGACAGCTTATTGTACAAAAAACTTGTTGATATACTAACGTATAAGAAAATAATACCAGAACATCAATTTGGATTTGGGGCACATCTGTCAACTATATACCAGCTACATAGAGTGACGGACTACATTTCTTCACTTGAGCAGAAATTGTATACAACTTGCTTAATTCTGGATCAAGGGTTTAACAAAGTTTGGTACCAGGGTCTTCTTTTCGAACTCAAGATAAAACACCCACCACTAGCGGATCCAGGATTTACTTTTGGGGGGGAGGCTTCAGCCCGAAAGTGTTTTTTTTTCATAAAAATGACGATAATTACTTTGGAAAAAAAGAAAGAAGCTTATTACACGAACAACAATACTTTAAGAGATACTTTTTTAATATATTTTTCGATAAAACATGGTTATATTTTAGCATTTTTTTTTTGGGGGGGGGCTTCAGCCCGAAAGCCCTCCTCCGTAAATCCGCTCGTGACACCCACTATCTATTATCTAATTCTACAAGCCCTCCTTTCTGACAGATTTTTCTATGTCCGATAAGGTTCCGAACTATCTTCTATCAGGTCTATTACAGCAGGAGTACCCCAAAGTTCAGTACTCGCACCATTATTCTACATTATATACATATACGACATACCTTGCAGGTCTAAAATTTTAGAAGTGACGTAAGCAGGTGACACTGCTATTTTAGAAGTATAGCTATTTTAGCAAGAAAAGAAAATCCAACTTACGCCTCACAGACTCTACAACAATATTTAACTAACTTACATGACTGATTTAAACTCTGAAACACGGAAAATCCGAATAAATCAAGACAAATCGCAGCATCACTTTTACTCTTTGACACGGAACATGTCCTACAGTTTTTATTGCCAATACACAGATTCCACAAACAGATACCGTTCACTCACTACCTTCGTCTGACATTTGACCAAAATGACATGGGACCCACATATCACGAAAAAAATAAATAAAAGACTAAGACATCTAAATTCACTTCTGTGTAAACACTCATAACTGAAACAAAAATTGAACATATATACTTACTACCTAAAAGTTATTTGGAATTACGTATCACAAATATTTGGAACAGCTAAAAAAGACTTATATTAACAAACCTTAAATTTTGCAAGCTAAATGATTCAGGATAATTAAAAAAGCACCTTCGTACGTTAGCAACATAACCTTACTTACAGACCTACGCCTGCTGTTAACGAACAAATGCGAACCTATTACAGACGATTCCATCACAAATTACAAACATATTCATAATTGACATGGTCACAATACTCATGCCAGGCAACATCCGTAGAAAGTTGAAGGGGAACTGGATAAGAGATCTCCTCACCTAACAATCAATATAAATGTCAAGATGAGAAAGAGCTGCCGCTGGATACTGCTCCCCCTCATGTCTCTCACACCATTTTATTTACAGGAATGGACATCAAATTCTATGATTGTCAATTTCTTTAACAGGTGTGAATAAAAATAATGATACAATTACTTACTAAAACCTATTTGGCTTATGCATCACAGATATTTGGAACTGCTAAAAAGACTCACTTAAACAAACTTCAAATCTTTCAAGCAAAAACATTCAGAACAATTACAAAAGCACCTTGGTACGTTAGCAACATAACCTTACATACTGACCTCCATATGCCGACTGTTAACGAATTCATTACAAACGATTCCATGACAACTTACAGGGACATCCTAATACACTTAAAAATGAAATGGCCACTACGAATATACCAGGTAACGTCTGTAGGAGACTGAAGAGGAGCTGGATGAGGGACCTCCTCGCCTAATGTAGATATCACGCCGAGTGAGGTGCCGCTGGGCACTGATCACCGTAATGCCTTTCATGAAATTATTTTTTCAACATTCACTGGTTGTCATTACCACTATGACAGGTGTGAATAAAAAAAATTAAAGCAAAAAAAAAAGTAAAAAAAAGTTATGTATAAAAAAAATGTATATTTCATTATTTTAGTTTCTTTTATTTACTTATTTTAAATTAAATTATGTCTTCTAGTTATTGTTATTAAGTTATTGTTTAGAAAATGGTTAGTTCGATTTGGCTAAAAGATGTAGAAAAGATAGCCATCAGTGAAAACAATGTTACTAACGTATTTCCCTCGATAGGCAAATATCTTTAAACCCCACTTTCCATCTACCTCAAATTTTAAAGGAAGTTGAGGATTGGTGAAAAATGATAAATTAAGTTTAACAAACTCCAACTGCTATTTTCAAAAAATACTTTTGCTAACGGACAGGTAAACGTATTTGTTTTGATACACCTGTTTTTGGCCCAAAGTGGGGGAGGGGGAAGATAATTAGAGACTGGAATATCTAACAGTAGTCTGAATCGAAAAAAACTGGTGCGGTGCGCGTATCACACAACTTCACTCACCACCCTCTTCTTAGCAGAAATGAGTATTTTCAGTCAAAGGTGAGTGAAAGTAAATATTATAGATGCTATATTTATTTATATTTCATTGTGGATATTTTTATTTGTATAATTATCCTTACATATACAAATTTTAATATTTAGTGGGCAGGGTGGCCGAATGGGCTAACGAATGTGCACAGCACCGCCGTTGTCCGGCAACCTGACATATGAGACAACGATGAAACATAGTTCCGAGTTCGCATCCCGGTACCGGGGGAGAAAAAAAAAAGAATAATATTTACATCGTTGTAATACATACAATTAAATATTAAATAATACCAACCAAAGCACTTATGAAAACCGCATATGTATATTTACATAATATTGCCGGAGTCCGTATTATATTAAGCTGATGTTATATATGGAAGCGTGTTCTAATCTTTCGGGTTGGCTTGGGTGCGCTCGTATTCGTTTGGTTCCTCAATTACAAATATTCTCCGTTACGATCTCTTATTTTTCTTTTAATTCGTTATAAAATTCTTTTATATTTTATATTTAACTATCTTTTATATTAGAGATCAATGTGTAATAAATGGTCAATTGTTTCAAATAAAAAAATGAAAGGTACTTCAAAGGAAACTAATATTGAAAATTAGCCATTTAAGCTCTATAACTGCTTAATTTTATACTGATATAATGAATTTATTCAAAATCGTCAGAGCTGTCCGAGAAAATCGGAAAAATGTATTTAGTCCATGATATAAAGTGCCACTTCCGATTTGCCGATTTTGACGAAAAAGTTGCTGCAACATCTCAAGTGTATAAAAACCTTAAATATGCAATACCACTTTAATACGACTTTTCGTTTTTGAGCTAGACTATTAACACACACATACAGACATACACACACACAGACCATTTTGCGGGACTTCGTTATTTGGACTCAGGAGACCTCAAAACGTGTAATTCCGTTCAAAACTGAGATTCGAAAATTTTCACTACTACTATACTGTACTATACCACGAATACTTTCCTTTACTATATATTTCGTATATACAGTTAAGTGAAAGCAAAAAGTCCTGAAATAAAAATCAAATTTAATAAACAGTGTACTTTCTGAATTTGATAAATCTGATTTGATATGGATAAATCGTTTGTCGAGGAATCTAAAATATCGCTTTTCAGAAAAAATACACATATCTTATTTATGATCTTTTATCTCCTGTCATGGAATTTAAATATTAATTTTTTTTATAAATAATATTATGGAAAAAAGTAAAAAGTGGACAAGGAGTTTATACCTTTGTAAAACTTGCTCAAAAACGAATTTCTTATTTTCTTCAGTGAATAAATTTCCAAATTTTTCTATTGGATGGCCAGCAACACTCACTCCAGACCAAATAGGTGCTGTAAATAAAAAATAAATAAATATATAAATTTTCTCAATCTTATTCATATTTCTAATTCTCTTATCAAGCATGCCCTCAAACGCTCTAATTTGGTTGGCCAACATGTACACAAGCGGATCAACTTTAAAACTAAGCCCTTTGTTTGTAGTCACATTTTTATTTTTTGTGCCCATTAGCTGTTTCCATGGGTTTTTTTTTCATTAAAAATATTTTTGTATTTTAAATTTTTAAAATATAGCATGCCCCCATGTTGTATTATTTAACCACGAATCTTACTTTAGTTAATTAAAATGCTCCACGAAAGTATTAGAAAGATCTGAAAGTAATGTCGTTTTTGAGCATGTTATCATTTGATTTATATTTGGGAGCTCATTGTGTACAGCGGACAAATAATTGGACTAAACTTAAACCATTAGAGTACTTTACAGTCACTTTTCCTGAGATGTTTGAATTGGAAGGTACTGTAATATTAATATTTGGAATAATTTGTGTTTTACTAAGTTAACTAGTTTTGTCTTATACATACACTAGCTGATGTGAATGTTGTAAGGTTCAAAAGTTTTTTTTACTCCTAAATCGTTTTGAAATTCTATCTCATATAGACATTTATAAATCGCAACGGTCCACCATGATAGAAAAAATATTTTTCTGAACATTCTTAGAAAGCAACCAAAATGCTTTAACAACGTAGCATTTAAGCATAGAGAGGTAATAGCTGATTATGCTTAAAAAAGATATATAATCCATTAATAAAAATTACTTGTCTGAAAAAGGATTAATTTTTCCCTAAAAACAGAAATGACTAATTAATTATTTCAATAATTGATTTTTGGTTTATTATTTTCAATAATGAAACATTGTGATCGACCAAAAAATTCAAAAACATAATACCCTCTCAAAATTTGAGGTTTCACGTTTCAAGACGCGTAGAATTCGAAAAACGAATAACAATTTTTTTGTCCGTCCGCCGTCCGCCGTCCGCGCATTTTCTCCGAAACTACTGGACCGATTTTTTTCAAATTTTTATATAAAATCAGAGGTCACCCGAGGATGATCCTCCTTCATCGACATTAACTTTCAAAATGGCGGCCGAAAAACCTGCGTTGCTATAGACTGTAGCTCCTAAACGAATGTACAGATTTCAATGAAACTTCGCTAAAGTCATTTTCTCGACGCCCTTTAAATTTATCTATATAACATACTTCAACGAAAAGAAGCTGCAAAAAAAGTTACGAGGGATGGTAAAATTAAATTCCGAATAACTCGAAAAGTTTATACTTTTTTGTTGATATTGTATATAGTTTTTTAAAAGTTTATGAAATTTCCTAAAAAAAAAAATAAAAATCGTTAAAATCGGACAATTAGGAGCAAAGATATGGTCTCTAGTTTTTTGTATGTGTTCTACTCCAAATGTTATATCCTTGGTTTGTTTTTTAAATTTTAAATGTGTTAATGAAATAATGCTATTTTTTTTAGCATATTACTAATGATTAAAGAAAAATAGTTTAGTCCAATAATTGGAATCACCTTTTGTTTTTTTTTTCTTTGTAACTCGGAAGGTAATATTACTTTAGATGTATAATTGTTTGGAGATAATAAACCATTGTGAAATCATTTGCACTGTTGTTTTTTTTTCTTACTTCCTCATACAGATATAACACAGTTATGAGCTTTGATATAAATTGATTAAATTTTTTTTTATTTATTGAGTATTACAACAATCTGTCTACTCGGACATTAGTTATAGTGGGGTAGGATATCATTCACACCATATGTACAAAAAAATATAAAATAAATAAAAAATAATAACTTAAAAATAAGAAAATTAAAACAAAGCAAAAAATCATTTGTTGATAACTAACAAATAGTACTAAAATAGTTTCAAAGAGACGCGAGAAAGAAGCTAATTTAAATCAATATGATTCAGTAAAATGTAATAAATAATATAAGTACAAATAAAGAATTCTGTTAAAGTTCCATACCACATGATGCTCCATGCTCTCCAAGTATTTGTGCTTTAATAAGATGCACTGGAAAGCCAGACAGTTTCCCGATGAAGTATTGAAATCTTGAAGAGTCTAAATGTGTTCCAGATCCAAATATTTGATTAAGAGGTAGCCCAGAGATTTTCCATGCAGCGTATGTCAAAACATCGACTAAAATAAAATAACATTTATTTCAAGTAGCTTGTAATTATTTTTTTTACAAATAATTATCTTAGTAAAAAAATATATGGCAGTTTTGAACACGATATTAATAAATTGAGCTAATTACATATATATGTACCCAATGAATGACCAACGGTTAGAAATAGACTAGTATAAAACAAGCGGAAACAGAGTGCGGATGTATATTCACAATATCTCAACCACACACAGTTATTTGTTATTTTAAAACGTTTCTGTTATTCATTTGTCCATTAGAATAATCCCAAAATTGGTTTAACCTTTGTAAAAAATAATTCACTGTAAATTAAAAAAAAAAAAACGTTTTAAAAAATGGGTAATACCTTATAAATATCATGTAGAATATAATATCAAAACATCAAATAGAAAATAACAACATAGAAAACATCCGAGCTCACATGTATAGGGAATAAAGTTTATTGCTCGAATTTTATCAAAGGCAATACAAAACATTTATATCTTATCTTGATTAATAAATAAAATTACATTAAGTCTTCAAGATACTTTAATAAAAAAATTAATAATATCACAGAATATATATTTTTAAAATGTTATATGTTAAAAGGCATCGATAATGTTTTTATCAACTGTTGAACTATTGCCACTATAAACAAATGTTGTATATGATACAGTCAAAAATATTTGGGGATACAGAATTAATGATATAATAATTAATAAGAAACATAAATAATGTTTTTTTTTCTTTTTATTTCAAATATTTTTATTTAAATTTGTATAAATTGCTTGGAAAGCTAATGCAAAAATATTAATTATTATTTTTTTTACTTATATCTCACCTGGGTTACTGACAATAATAATAATAGCGTCTGGGCTGTATTTAACAAGCTCTGTTATAATATGCTTCATGATTTTAATATTTGCCTCCAACATGTCAGTTCTGCTCTGACCTGGCTTCTGCCGAGCTCCGGCTGTTACAATACATATTTGGGAACCTTCAGTGAGGCTGTAATCTGAAACAGAACGAAGAAGTTAGATTCCAAGGATAATATATCTGATAAGAGATGTTGGGGATAATTTCAGATACAGAACCAGCCAGGGGTGCCCACTACCTTTCAGTGGAGGCAATCTTGGACTATCTTGAAATATTTAATCCCTTAAACTTATCGACTGCTCACATTACAGCAGCGGTATCCAGAGTTCAAGATTTTTTGAAGATGGGGGAAATTTCGACGAGGTTATGAATTTTCGGACTACGGGACAAGGGGAAAATATGGAACATACCGCAGCAAGTGTAATTATATATGATCTACGATTTTTAGAGAGGGCGGAGTGGCCGAGCTGGCTGACGCGTGTGCACAGCACCGACAACCTGATAACTGAAGTTTAAAACAGAGAAACATTTACGGGTTCTAATTCTAGTGCCCGGTGGGACATTCAACTCGGAATAATTCCCCCTTCTCAACCCTACTTTTCGTATGTTTTGTAATGTATTGAGTATTTTATTACATAGAGTAAATTCAAAGTCGCACTATTATTATAATTATAAAACCAAAATAATACTATCAAATAAAACCATTTAACCACTAGCCAATCTCTGTTTAATTACAGAAGTAGTGCTACTAAAACATAACGAGTGAAATGGTATTTTATGTTTTTAATCAGTTTGATAATACTTGTTAGCTGTTATCTTTGATCTAAATTCTTGCTAACAAATATATGCAAGACTGTACAAATCGTGATGTTCCCTACCGAAAATTTTTTAATAATACCGTTATGTCTTTTCACAGTTATTTATTTGCCTTATGGTCAGTTCAATAATAATAAAATTAGTTTTTAATGACTACTTATTGGACATTTCGGGGAATCTCTGCCTCCCTTCTCAGCAATATTTTACTCCCCCGAAAAATTGTCTAAGTCACAGTAATTTAATTAGATTGGTTTTTGAGGAAATAAAATATTCTGAAGAGAGGTAGAGGGGGGTGGGGCAAAGATCCCTGGAAACGTCCAATACATAACAATCAAAAACTCTATTATTATTATTATTGAACTGACCATAAGGCAAATAGATAAATGTAAAAAGATATTCATAATAGGACAATAAATTATACAGATCTGTAATTTGTTTTTAAACTCTCTAAAAATGTTTTTAAATTAACAAGTTTCCTGTCAGGTTCCTGAGCTGTGTCAGAGAATCATGCAAATATGTACCTTTTTTTGAAATGTTATAATTTTCATAGATGTTTTTAATTTACCATTTCCTCCTATAATTTGTTGGGTTTGGAGGAAAGCTGAGCTATGCTGCATATCCTGAACCTCCCCGAGTGCCTTGTTTCCATCCACATCGATTAAGACCAGCGGATCGGCAATGTTCTGGAAATAATATGATAATTATTTTATTCGATAACCAATATATTACAGTATAAGATATTTTTAATTTCATAATTGATGTATCGAACTCATTGTAATGTTCATGGGTCAGTTCCATCCAGTGGTAATATTAATACTGTTCATCTCGGAACAAACAGATTCATTTTTATTTTTATGTCCCTATGATACACTTCTTATCTAATGAATTAATCCCTAAGGTGGATTGTTTGTCCTGTTTAATATTTCAACAACTATATCTGTTAACTCTTGTTAAAACAAGCTTAGTGTTGTGTTTGCTATTGCACTGTGAATATGCAAGAAAATGTCATTCATTATCGGTATAATTTGTTGTATTATTTTTAAAAAAGTAAGCGTGCTGCAGAAGCTCATAGAAAAATTTGCATTGTTTATGGGGACGATGCCTTAACCGAACGCACATGTCAAAATTGGTTTGCCAAATTTCATTCGGGAAAATTTGACAACAATGATGCTCAACGGTCTGGTCGCCCGCATCAAATTGAAACGAGCAATTTTAAGATTATTGCTGATCAAAATCCCACCCAATCAGTGCGAGAGATTGCTATGGCCCTAAATGTGTTGCACACAAGCGTTGAAAACCATTTGCACAAGCTTGGCTATGTTTCCAGGCTTAATTTTTAGGTCACTCACATGACTTTTTTTTCGAAAATCACTAAAAATTGTATAACTTCAATACAACTTCAGCTATCTAGAAGAAATTTAGCAGGAATTCAGGGCTACTTAAACTACACAAAATGACATCAACAAGACCTTCGCAAACAAACTAGAAATGGAGATGAAAAATAAAAACCTATAAAGAGTTTATGTTTATTTATTCTTTATGTAGGCATTAAATAAAAAAAAAATCATTCAATTTTAAAGGTTTGAATAGCATTAATTCAGATTTCCAACGTATATAGTAACATCGAATTTGGAGAACATCCTTAAGAGTTATGGAAGGGTGTTATGTTCCACCAAGACAACGCTAGGCCCCAACATCTCATTTGTCGCTCGCAATAAATTATTGAGCCTTGGATAGGACCTTTTGTCCCACCCTCCCTATTCACCAGACCTAGTTCCAAGTTACTACCACTTATTCCGGTCTCTGCAGAACTCCATGAATGGAATGAAATTCCAAAAGAAAGAGGACACCAAAAACCACTTGGATCAGTTTTTTAACAACAAACTCCAGACATTCTATGAACATTGTGCAGTTAGTGGAAAGATGGGAGAAAGTCATATTAAATGATAGTCAATACATTGTAGATTAAAATAAATTTTATGTCTATAATACATTGAAGTTTATTTCACCCTGAAAACCGAAAGGACTTATTTGACAACCCAATACTTCAATCACTGCACTTATTGTGTTAAACAATATTTGAGAAAAACCTTATAAAGGAAGGAGATGGTCCTGAGTTGCGGTCATAAATAGGCTAAATAGTGGCAAAATATAATATCCTTTTTCCTTTTCTTTGAATCTCTCTTGTAGATCTATCTGTTGAAGTATATTCACATTTGCATATATTATATATTACACTACAACAATTGTTACTATCTATTTACTTCAGTTTAGAATCTGGTTACTTAGCTTACTCTGTTTATATTTGAATGTACTTACTGTTTATAATTTTAATAAGCTTATTCACATTGTTTATAATTTTTTGTTTAATATTATGTAACTTCCACAATTTTCTTTCTTTTTGTATCTTGTCCGTTCTAGCCCTGAGGAAGACCAGAAAAGTCGGGTCGAAACGTTGGCTTTTAATAAAATAGTTTTCCCACTATTTAGCCTATTTATGATCCCTACACCGGACCATCTCCTTCCTTTATAATGCAACGGTCAACTATTAAATATTCAATATGACTCGAAAAACCCTATAATTTTTGAGATATTCTAAAAAAAAAATAAAATAAAATCTCTATATATCTCAATATATCTATTCTTCTCCTTCTCTAAATTGAAATCAGTTTTCAGTCTTCTTCCTCTCTCTCCCAATCAAAAACTTATTTTTTTTTACCAGCTATAAAGGAAAAGATAATGAACGATTTCTGGCAGTTTTCAGCATGATTTTTAGATGTTTGTCTCAAACTCTAATTTTACAGTACAAATATTTTTTTTATTCATTAAGAGGTGAATCTCAACTTCTGTAAAAAAAACCCTCAACTTTGTTTATGTGAACTATAAGCTTATTAGACAAGGAAGATTTTCTAAAAGTGAGGTATCTCTAGTCATACAAGGAAAAAACGTCAGTTTCCTCTGTCATGAAAATATCCAACGCAAAGTAAGTTCCCCGTCTGATAAACCAGTTCCTCATATCCTGCGTAATTATAGCGTTAAATATGTACATGAAATTCTGGAATTTCATGATGCTATAAGTATTATTGATAACGAAACAATTTTAATGACCATTTCATACTAAATTTATGAGCTTTTATCTGTTTTATTCCACGTTTTTTATAAATATGATTAATTTTTTATATTCCCCAAACTTCTGAAAATATCGTTGACGTATTGAAAAAAGTTACTAATTGCGCTTTTGATGAAGGTGAACTTTCAAAAATGTTTTTTATTTTACTTATGGTTAAAAAACACAGTAAGTGATGTACAATCAGATATTTGCGATATTTTGTATATCAAATATAGTTATAACAAGCGTAGAATTTTCTTACACAAAGCAAAAATTCATCAAATTCATTAATGATTTAATGTTATGAAATGACACTTGAGTTTTTGCAATAAACCGACAATATCCTCTTTAACGTTAGGTTTGATAACATAAATTTAAGATCTGTTTGGACCAACGTGACTATGTTCCCATATAGGGAAATTTGTACAAATATGAGATTGGTAATATCTTAGCTGAATGCTGGTTGGCATATGTTAATTTAAAAGTAGCAGTTACTTGCAAGGAGCAGAAACCGAGTGGCTGAAGCAACCTTTCTCTAATTTACAAATAATATAGTACCAATTTGTTAAAACAAATACTAGTGGTTAGTAATTTATCCATCAAACTCATATTTTACATTGAATTATAGAACTTGACCAATTCAATATTAACTTCAAATAGTTTAGTTGCAGTTTCAACTAACAACCAGCGTTGTAATTATTGAAGTTGAAGTTGAGTTTAAACTAATCTAGTTTCTGATTACTACTATTTCCTCGATATCAAATAAACTAATTTGAATTTCTTGAGAATTTAATGAAAACCAGAAAATGCATTTAGATTCTATCTGAAAAAGAGTCACTAATTTGCTAATGAGTAATTGCTGCAATAGATATAAAAAAATCTGGTGCGCGGAACACACAACTTTCACTTACCGCCAGCACTTGCGTACGCGTAAATGTATTTTCTTGGATATGAAATTATTTCAGAAACCGTTCGTTTAATTTGGCTCAAAGTTGGGAAAAAGGCAGGTATTAATAAAAAAAAAATTTAGTATCAATCTTATTCAATTCTGCCCTCTACTTTCTCTTATATATGCGCATACGTGTTTTCCTTGAAACGTCTATAACACTAAAACCGCACGTTCGATTTGGATGAAATTTGGAGAGAATACCCTCTTTTTCCAAAAAAATACTTCCGCTTTCAGATCAGAAAATGTATTATTTGACACGTCTATAGTTTGAAAACGGTTCGTCCAATTTGATCCAAACTTAGAGAATAGTATAGAAATTACCCTATATTAATTTCATTTAATTCTATTTAATAATTAAAATTAATATATATAATTGTTAAAAATATGATGGCTGTGAAATATGGAAGACATTTATCATATGGAGTGGGTGTTAGGTTAATATTAGATTATAGGTTAATATTTTTACGAGGTTATAAAATTTTAGGTTTTATTAAAAAAGTTAATTTCTACTGCAGTGTTTGGTCGATTCCAAACGTTACTGTCATGATACTAACTACCGTTACTTAGATTTCGAGTAATTTTAATTAGTTGTTACTCTGAGTTCGTAAAAAAAGGCTTATTTGCGATTGTGGTTATTTATATTAAAGTTCAATCAGCTTGTCGTGGTCTCGATCATCTCCTTAAATATCAAAGTTGTGTGAACTCCATGCATATTTTTATATTACAGCATATTTAGATTTGTTATGATTGAAGAAACGTACTGGTCTCGTTAACTGCGAACTAATAAAAAGTTAAATTTTCCTATGGATTTTTGTTCTATCCATTTTACGAGTTAAAACATACCTATTAAGTATATATCACTATTGGAATATTAGCTAATATAAAAGAGAAAAAAAAAGTATATATCACTACTGTTAATACAAAAGGTCGTATGTATTTGTATTTGTATATTTTTGACATTATGTAGTCTGCAATTTATATAAGTAGTCTACTATTATGAAAAATAGCAGAGAGTAATTAAATATACAATTATACCAATAAATCATAAAGAAATAATTAGTTTTTATGATCTCCTGTAAAACACTCAATTTTTACATTCGGCCTTTTGCACTAACAGTTGCGATATGCATCTTCAGTATGCACAGGAATTTTTTTTTTTAAACTACGAATCCTCAAATATGCAATCAGCGAATGCGGAACTCGCATTTTAGTATTTGCTGATAAACAAACCTCGTGAATATCTAGCCCATATATGTTGAGGGATTCGTAGCTGTAAATATTTCATCAATTATTTTAGTAAAGACTTGTTTTTATTTAGTTACTCTAATTAGCTCTGAGATCAATTTAAAAGTATTACACTATCTTATGACATTCTTAATTATTTCGAGGTTTCATATATTTAATGAATGGAGTTTTTCAAGCAGTTTTTAAATTTCTTCTCTGGATATTAATTATTAATTACTTCTCTAATAAGTTGTTTTTTCTCCAGAAGATTCAGTTTTTAAGATTTAGTTTCTAAGTTTCAGGGAATTTCTTCGGAACGAAAACAGCTTCTTTCATAGATTTTATTCTCATACGAAAAATTTTAGGTCTTATAGTATAGATATTTTTTAGAAAATGAAAACGGTAGGGAGCTATCACTGACCTCTTATTTGGCAGACTTTTTTTTCAAGTTTATGTGAGCAAATTTGTTTTTTGTTATTTTGTTAAAATATTCATATTGAGTCTTATGTTGTTCTGGTATAGACAAAGACAAAAGACTCCAAAGAAGTTCCCTGAAACTTGGAGACAAAATCTTAAAACCTGACCCTTCTGGAGAAAAAAAAACTTATTAGAGAAGTAATTAATAATTAAAATTCAGAGAAAAAAATTTCAAAACTGCTTAAAAAACTTCATTCATTAAATTTATGAAACCTCGAAATAATTAAGCCCGTCATAAGATGAAGTAACACTTTGAAATTCATTTCAGAGTTAATTAGAGAAACTAAATAAAAACAAATATAAAAACAAGGCTTTACTAAAATAATTGATGAAATCTCTACAGCTAATTCTAAAAAGAAAACAATGGTTTGAAAGTTACATGTTTGTGAAGTAGTGATGTATGTGGAGTTGAGGTGTTCAAATCCCTTTCACTTTCATCTGGTTCGTGCCCGTTTTAATCCTTTGTATGTGATCTTAGTCACGTATTTTCTTTCGATCTGTTAAGTCTTAGAAGTTACTAATAATCAATACCATTGCTTAATAATTCTACACTAAGCTGGTTAACCGACATAGATACAACTCCTTGTGACAGTATATTCATTTTATACTTTGGATAATAAATATTATTATATGTTCCAATAAAGTTGGAACTAAAACTGTTCTACAAATAGAATTATACTAATACAACAATGTATAACGACTAAAGAGCTACATTACACACATGTGTAAAGCATAAAAAATCAATGTATTTCAGTATACAACACAAAAAATTGAAACGCTTTAGCACTACGCAAACTTTTTATGTAAACAACTTCGATGAAATCAATTTTATGCAGATACTACTGTGTGATAGCGGTATCCGCTGATAAAAAACTGTAGGAATAAAACAAGGATTTTTTTTTAGAATGAGCAGCCCTTCACATCCTTCTACTCACTTTTAAATTTAAATCGTATTAAAATTTGACCGAAGAAAGACTTCATGACAAAAAGAACAGAATAAAAGACTTAAACTTTATTCACTTCATTCCAAACACTCAAAACTCAGGAATTTAACACATAATTTGATCTTTTTGGACTTACTCTTAACAGATATGGTCCACTTAAAAATTATGACATTGACAAACTTCGTCTATTTTAAGGTAAAATATTCAAGAAAATAACAAAAAAAGTTGTAAGTCAGCAACATTGCACTGAGCCCTACATGCTAACTGTCAACGGACATGCATATGGAAACGAATGGAACCATTATCCATTCCGTATGGAACAATTACAAACAAATCCATGAAAAATTACAAGAAATAAAAAAGGAAATAAATAATAAAAGGCTGAAGAGAAGCTGGATGAGAGACCTCCTCGCCCAATAATTTATGGTGATATTGGGTTGAGCTGGGTATTGCTTCTCCTCAGGCCTCTCGTATCATGCTCTTAATTTATTGTTACAATATCAACGGGTTGCCGATTCAATAATTGACAGATGTGAATAAAGCTTATAAGTTCAAGAAATAAATCGGGAGAAATTAATCAACAACCCGAGGGCGAACTCTTGCAGCAGTTGAAATTAAGGTTTTGTTTTTTCCTAATGCTCCGACATCAATTACAAAATATTTGCAAACGTATACAAAAAATCAGAAGATCATGATTTCATAAAAATATATTTGTGAATATTGTGTAACATAGGAGATTTGGGGAAAAACAAAATGTGGGTTTCAAGTTGGAACCGCATGACTTCGCCCCAGGGCTGCCAACTTATGGTGGTCGAACTATTGTTTGTCGGTTATAATCCAAGAGTTAACCCCGTGTATGAATATATTTGTATAAGTGCAAAGTGAGTACAGGGTTAATATTTTCTTTAATTTTTTTTTTTTGTAATTTCAAATTCTAATATTTAAATATTTGTGTTTAATTCTTTACACCTATTTGTTAACAATAAATACACATTACGTGCTAAAATATAATTAGAACTAATGTTTATATTGTCCCTTATGTGATAGGTGTGAATAGAGAAATTTTTTTTATTTTTTTTTTAAACTTATTTATGAAAATATTACAATCTGTCTCAAGGACATTTATAATAGTGCTCAGAGATCACATTTTGAATTTTTCTTTCTTTTTTTTTTCCTTAATAGAAAAATTAAGAAAAAAAAGTATAAAGAATTTTTTGTTTGAAATTAATGTTAATTGTGTTCAAGGGAAAATATAAAGTTATTTATTGTATTCTTTTAACATCTTGAGATGTTTAATTAATTGTCTAGGATCGCTTACCTTGGCCAATAGGGAGACCCCTATGGCAACCCCTACAGACCCCGCCCCGACTATGGACACCTTCCTGCCAGTTGGTAACGCCACATGGCCATCCACCCTCTCTACTGCTGGACCCGCACTCATTCCTCTGCAACTACCTGACTGAGACTAGCGTATCTTCGCCACCCCACAGCCGCAATCGTTTTTATAATCGATATACCGTCGACGCAGTCTGTGTCATCCGACAGTGACTAATTGTGTTCATTCATGGGACACCTTTTATCCACTTCAATGGCTTCAAGTACCATTTAATTACGCTCAATATCGGAAGCAGATTCACCGTATGAACCGTATTATAACCAAAAAAGACATGACCCAAATAAAAAAAAGATATGTTTACATTTTCGAATGAGCTTTAGACTGGATAATATATTTTATCGTCCATTCACTCCATGTGATTGAATTAATTTTGTCAAGGTTTGACATTGAAAAAGTAACAAAATAAATTAACATTCACAATACAAAAATCTTTAAATACTAATTTATTAGAATTGGCGGTTTTGAGTTTTTACTTTTTAAGCCACACCACAAAACGATATCAAATACATTACAGTTTTGTATTAAGCATTGAGTAAATACGCGATTAATTTGGTCTTATAAATAATTTTAGATGATGTACTTGCAAGTTTTTGCAGCGTGAACTTCGAAATATACATTTTTATACGATTAATAACCCTGCGAATCAAATCTAGCTGAAAATTAAATAAAAAATGGTACTTTTAATTATGTGTAGGAAAATTATATAATGGGGTGATACCTGCATAAACCATGAATTTCTTAAACAGTAGTAAATAACGTTCCAGTTAAAGCTTTACCGGTTCTTTTATCAGAACTGGAATCACATTAATGATAACATGAGATAGCATATCTCACTTTAGCAGCCTAAAAGGGATTAATTAGATAGAGATAGTACGGCACTCGAGTTCTACACTTTTCTGTTCCCCATCTGCTTTCCTGTTGTTCACATTCGATGCACATTTTTCTATTTATTTAGCATGTTGAAGTAGAAAAGTTCTTCTGTATTGATTCAATGGGTTTTTGTTATTTTAAAATCGTGAAAACAACTAAATTGTGAAATAAAAATAATAATAATGATTTATCGTTTTGGGTGAGAACATCGTGTAAACTTGAAGTTAACATAATCTTATATGTTTCAATATTGATATTTTACTTTATTTCTGAAGTGAACTATTAATATTTATTTCTAAGGAAGTTGTAACCTGATTCCTACTTTTAGAAAAATTACTACGTTTAATAAGGTTTAAGTTTATATTAATCAAATTGAGATTCATTAGGCAATAACGTAAGATTCACCTCATGTTGTATAAAGAAATGATGTAATTTCCTATCCAGTCACCTTACCTGTGTTTTCTGCAAAAATCACTCCAATTAACTGTTGCAAGGCTTTTATTTATTTTTTCCCCCGTGATATGGAATGTACTGTAATAAAAATAATTGTCTAAAAAGATATTTTATTTATAAATACAAAAAATCTAAAAATAATCATTTTTAAATATTTTTCACATAAAGTGGTAATAATATTGTATTTATCTCCAAGATTTCTGTCATAGGAATTGGCCAGTGACAAACATAATATTTCTAGTCTTAATTGGTAATTGACGTTTAAAATAAAGAAAAACTTCAGAACCATCCTAACCCTCTCGTTTCTAACCTTGCTTCCGTTTCGATCCCTGACAACCCTCCGAGGCGTCTGAAAAGAAGATGGCCTCGAGGTCTCCTTTTGTAAATACATTTTTAGAGTGCTACCAGTGGGTAGTTTCTCAACAAGTGATTTCATACTATTATATTCTTTTGTTCACATTTACTGAATGTATTTTTACTTGTAATACAGTTGTAAATATCATCAATAAATAAAAAATAAAAAATAATAAAAATAAAAAAATAAAGAAACCTTCTGATTACTTAAATTATTATCATGAAAACGTAAATATTAGGGCTAGAAACATTAAGATTGTTATTTATAAATACCGATCAACTCCCATGACAGAGATCTGGAAGAAAACACAATTTCATAACTGACACCTTACATAAAACATATTTAAAATTCGTAATTTTTTGTTGAAAACGTGGGTACTTTTAGGAGACAGAATAGAAATTCACATCATTTCTTTACACTACTTAAGGTGAATCTTTTGTTTTTGGCTGATAAACCTCAATTTAATTAATATAAACTTAAACCTTACTAAACGAGGTAGTTTTTCTAAAAGTGGGATAACATCGCTCCGTTGGATTTAGAAAAAAAAAAAAAGAAATGTTATGTACAAAAATGTTAGATAATTTTAAGCTGTTTGAGATTGAATATAACCATTTTTTATCTATGTCGCTTTAAAAAGGAGATGTTTAGCGTAAACAAAAAAAAAATTAAAATTTCAATGGTTTTTGAAGCACTATAGCGACCTCACAAGGCTCTCAAGGGGGAAAACTTGGATTTTTTATAGTTTCTGCATACCTAATAATATAAAAAATAAATTTGAATTGCCCGACCTTTTTCAAGCTAGATGCCCTTTTTTATGCTAATTTGACTGGGCTAATTGGTATTTGAATAGGAATAGAAATAAGGATAAGTCAAAAAGTAAAAATATTTCGAAGAAAGTTTAATAATTAATTCGCTCCTTTTCTCTCTGGAGAGAGGGAATGCTCTAAAATAACGTGAGCTTGGGTCAGTATTACTGAAGAGATCTTAACTGGATGAATTTTTAAATCTTATTTCTTACCATTCCGAATCAGGAAAAAGATTCTTTAACTATTTAAATGTTAACTATAACTATTTAAAAATTAATAGCAGCATAATTTTTAGCCCTACTGGCCAGAATACAATAACTGGAATTATTCCTCATAACAAATGGTTTAAATTCGAAGTCAATTATTTTTATTTAGTGATTTTTTAATTAATTAAATTAAACATTGTTCAGTGTTAAACATTTATTAATTCCATTACTATTTTTTATGATTTTTTTAAAAATAAAGTGGTTTAGAAGATACTTTTTTATTTTCCAAATTTTACTCATTTTGCTTCATAATAAGGTAAGGCAGAATCTTGTAAGTTCAAATAACATCAAAACGTGTAGTTTTTCAAGTAAAAAAAAATTTCTTCGCTTCATTTTAAACAATACATTAAATTTGTTTTATACAATCCTGTTAGATAATTGATAATTGAAATGATAAATTTAGGAAAAATCATAAAATTAATTTTTATGTTTTTATCATTTGAATTCTACCAATGGGTAGTTTCTCTTCAAATGTAATGTTGTACATGTAATGTTACCAATGTCACATTTACTTGTTGTATTTTTCATGTGATACAGTTGTAAATTTCATTAAAATAAAAAAATGTTTCTATCAGAAGCGTAACTAATGAGGACTGCGACTAATTTTTCTCTCAAAAACAGCATCAAATAACATAAATGTTTATTTATACTATTATTTTCACAACGGTCAAATTCCAACCATAATCGTTATTCAAAATGTAGGAAAAACATAAGTAAATTTTCATGTTTCCAATATTTTTTTTCCACTCTCATACATTCGTACATAAATTTTAATATGTACTTCACATTATTAATATGTAATACTACAGTTCAGTAGCGTTTGAGTGAAATCGTTTCACTAAATAATTCATAACTCCTCAGCATTATAACTATAAAAAATATCAATTAGTTTTAGAATTAAAGCAGCACAGAAAATAAATAGAGAAAAACTTCTCACACGTTTTTATTTTATATATCCAATTCTAATATATTTATCCGGTTTGTGGCATTTCGCTTAGTTTACGTGACTCTAATTTCCTGCTAATTCGTACGGATAGGTGGAGTCAGGTTGAAGTTATCATACATTTTGTGATTTCAGAAATAAATTCGAAGGCATTGTACTCAACACTGTACCCATATTATAGCTATATGACAAGTATAAATTTTTTATAATAGAGGTCTCTTAAAAAATATAAATCGAAGAAAAGTTTAAGAGAAAAGTATAATAAAATCGTTTTTCTCCTCAACTATGTCCTCAATTTCTAACTGACACAGCATACTAATCCATCTGGTTGGCAATATCTAGTAAAACAATTTAGAAAGGATTTATTTTGACGGGATTGTCATCATGAATACCAAGTGCTTTATATATAAAAATGTCATTCGCTATTGTTTTCCTTATAGCCTAAATTTTCCTCTGGCTTTAGTTATAGCATCTTTTCGGGAAAATATGTTGTATTGATAATTGAAAAGAGCTTCAAGGAGAAGGCTATTGTCAAGTTTCATTTAAGCCGTTGCAGCTGTTTTGGCGCTTTAGTCTTCAGCGACACATGTTTTTCGAACGCCATTTAGATACGAAAGGCCGAATGTTAATGCACTGTATACAAAAAGATTCCTGAGTTTGATTGCAACGTTGTACGAAGTTTTGATTCAAACGTTAGTTTTTATCAAAATATATAACGAACTAAAACTTATATTTTTATTTATATAAACTGTTTCTAAAAAAAATTTATTGGTGACAATAAAGATACTCGTCAATAGCTACTAAACAAAAAAAAAAAAAAAAAAGAATATTGATTGGCAAAAAGAAGAGAAATAAGTACTGTTAAGTCTTTGGCTATTAATAAAATGATTTCATCATATTGTATATCACTCCTCTAGCCCCTAATATTTAAGTTTTCATGAAAATAATTTAAGTAATCAGTAGGTTTCTTGATTTTTAATGTAAATTTTAGTAAGGAATATTAAGTTTGTCACTGATAAATACATATCAAATCCTATGACGAAGATATGGGAAACAAAACACATTTTCTTAACCACTTTAAGTGAAAAATATTTAAAAAATCATTATTTTTTATATTTGTATGTAAAATGTTTTTTTTGGCAATTATTTTTATTACAATACATCCCATATCACAGAAGAACAAGAAATAAAAGTTTTGCAACAGTTAATTGTAGCCAATTTTGCAGAAAACACGGATACTTTAAGGTGACTAGATAGGAAATCACATTATTTCTTTACACATTTCAATTTTTTTTCTAATAAACCCTAGTTTAATTCATATGGACTTACAGCTTACTAAACGACGAAGTTTTTGTAAAAGTGTGATAATAGTAGTACAGTTGAAGGGTGAGAAAAAAAAATCACCAATAATTTATGACTTTCTTAAAAACTGAAACCGCTCAAAAATCCTCTTTAAATAGTTTTAACAATGACAAACTCTACTTTCTTTTAAAGTAAATGGTGTTTAGTTTCCTATGGAGTAATGTTTAATTACTTAAATAAAAAATGTATTAAGTTATCGCTTCCTATGCAACAAAATACGTGGATCGCTTAAAAAAAACACAAATCCTCAATTTCATACTTTTCTGCAGAAAATTGGCCAATTGCTTATATGAACT